TTCAACTTTTTTATTGCTTTGAGAGTTGTTGCAGCCGCAGCAGCAGCAGCAGCATCCTAATTGTGGCCAACTTTCATATCCTGCTCTGGCTGTGATAGTGTGTGTCCTGCCTCTGCTACCTCTCCTGCCTGGCTGGCTGTCTGTGTTTGGTGAGCCGCCTGTCCCATTGCCGTTGTCCCCGTCGCTGTTCATTGACTTTGGCAGCAACAACAGCCAGGACAACGTTGTGCATGTGCAGGGAAAGGACACACACACACTCCACGCACTGTGACTTTGTTTTTAATACACTCCAGTGGCCGTTGCATCGATCGCCAGGACAAACAAGGCGCCTGTCGTTGTCTGCCAGCCGCAGTTCATTACTCCTCCAGCCATGTCCTGTGGCCAGCCTGTGTCCATGTGTGTGTAGTGACTTTTCATGCTCATATTTTTGCCATGCCACGCAACGCCATGTTATCCTTTTGGCTCACGTCAAGCCATGACAAAGATTATCAATAGCCAAGCCAAAGACACGTTGTTCCCATTGACTGCTGCGGATATTGGCCACGCTTCAGACTTGTTGGCAGCCTTAATCCCACATTCGCCATTTCCACATCAATATCAATCGCCAGCCCAATCGCCGGGCTCTACATTCTGTTTATGCCGAGCATTTCTATGGCTGCTTCTTCGCTGCCTGCTCATCGATTAAACGTTAAATTGTTATTACCATATTTAGCTGAAGCGTCCCCAGGTCCCCAGGCAACCCTTTGGTTCATTCAAGCCGCACAACAATGGGACAAACAAATATTTTAACAAATCAACAGATACTCTCAACAAATATCAAGCATATTGCATATTGTGACAATAGTTGTCTTCTTTTTAATATTACAATTTTTATTGGATTCTTTTAACCATTGAAAACTTATATAATATTATTATCATTGCACTTTTACACAATTTCTATATATAATGATTTTTCAAAATAATTTACAATATTAATTGACCTGATGTTAATTTCTTGAGATTCAATATGTGCATATATAAAAATTAGCCAAAATTAACCTCTAATCAGCGCTAGTTCATGAACTTAACAAGCGCAGCCAACTTAACACGACGTATTCGGTGCTGCCAGATCGCTAACTGGTGCAATATTCGGTCTTAATTTATTTTCTTCAGATTCAATGTGTTCAAATATAAATCTTATTCAAAAATGGAGATTCTTATCAGTGCTAGCTTATGAAGTTAACAAGGGCAACAAACTTAATACAACATTTGGTGCTGCCAGATCGCAAACAGATGATAATATATATTAATATATATTAATTTATTTTCTTGATATTAAATGTGTTCAGATATAAATCTTATCCAAGATTAACCTTCTAATCAGTGTTAGTTCATGAACTAAACAAGCGCAGCCAACTTAACACGCTCAAGCAACATCTGGTGCTGCCAGATCGCTAGTAAATGCTGCAAAATGTTCTCACATATTTTTCAATTCAAAGCATTTTTCCATATAAAAAGCTAACGTATTTAAAAATCTTAAAGCCCAGACGCGCATGTTGCAAACTTGATGACAATGTTGCGGCTACTTTCACGCCGTAAGTGTGTGTGCAGAGGCGGGCGTCTGTTTTATGTTGGCCCGTGGAGGACTTTGCGAAACGCATAAACATATTCGTGTGCCGGGATATTTGGCATTTTGGCTGTTTGCAGCAGCCACAAGCCGCATCATCATAATTTGTGAAAGGCGCTGTTGCCGGCAGGAAGTTGCCGTTGAAAATATGTTGAAACAAGTAGCCCGTAGAACGCAGGGGCGAATGGTGCAGGGGGCATTGGATTGGTTTGGTTGGGCAACCTTGTCATATCCTGTTGATGGTCGACGCTCAGGTGGCCCCGTTTGCCTTTGTCTCTCGGCGGAAGTGTGAAATATTTTGAGAGCACACTTTTTTCCAACCATCTACAAATGGAATTTTTGCGCTCGAGCGTATTTTATTGGCATTTTGCAGAAAATTTGTGGCCAATGCTATGAAAATGCCACAAATTGCGTTCTACACTTGGCGGCTCAGCAATTTTCAAATTACTTTCTCCACTTGCTTTTTTTCTCTCTTTCTTTTCGGCGGCACATTTGCACTGTGGATTTGCGTTTAATTGATTTAGCCAAATTGTTAAACGCATCAAGGTTGGGCCTAGGGCGTAGCCCATTTGTCCTGGCGCACTAAAGGACACCGGTTGGCGCAGCGGGTAAATCCTTTTAATTTTCGTGTAGCACACGCTGCATAATTTGGTGGCATGCTGCATAATTATGCGTCGGTTGTCAATGAATTTGCATGCGTTCGCAATTTTGATTTTTGTCCAAGTTTACACCAGAGATTTCGTTTGATTTCGCGACAAATTTACCAAAATTCAATTACCAATTACAATTGCATATGCAACTTGCAACAGACAGAGCGCAACGGACGGCATTTGCCGCAGTCAACAAGCCGTGGCAGGTATTCATTCTACTGACTGCGGCAATAAGTTAAATATTATTCGCAGAAAATCCATTTCACAATATTGTCGAACATTTATGATCGCCAAATTATTTAGCATCATTAAGAATTAAATCCAGCTCGCTTTGCTGGATTTTCTTGGAAATCTTTTTTCTGCTCAGCAAAACACTAGAAATTTGTGGGTTACAAGATTCTAGCTCCCGCTTGGCTCTAATTAGTTTTTATTTTATTTTTCTGTACAATTAGTTTTATAAGTATTTTATTTGGACATATTGTGGGATTTAAGTTTCTAATTTTCTAAGCAAACTGCTAAATTTCAAATAATTTAAAAAAGTTTGTTTAATATTATTTCATGATTTGAACAATTGGCAAACATTATTTGGGTATTTTATTTATTTCAGTTTCCGCACGAAAAAGCCTCTAATAGTAGAAGATTTAAAGTTCTAGTCCCAACAAAGTTTGTGAATTATTTTTATACCCTGAAATGCGCAAAAAAGGGTATATTGTATTTGTGCGAAAGCCAAATGTATGTAACTGGCAGAAGGAAGCTTCGCCGACCCCATAAAGTATAAATATTCTTGATCAACATCAATAGCCGAGTCGATCTAGCCATGTCCGTCCGTCTGTCTGTCCGTATGTATGAACGCAAGGATCTCAGAGCCTATAAGAGCTAGTGAAATTTTAGATGAAGGTGCTCCTAGTGCCTGCGCAGATCGAGTTTGTTTCCGATAATCGATAACTTGCCCCGTTTCCAAGCAATCGTTAAAAATCGATATAGATTTCCTGTTTTTTGGACGATTTTTGTAAATAATAAGAGCCAGAGTAACCAAACTTGACATGCTTCTAGAATAGTATATTTATTTGCATTTGGTGTTGGAAGAAGAGGGTTCAGGGTATCCCCTTGTCGGGAGCTCCCGACTAATTTTGTTGGCAATTATAATATATAATATGTATATTATTTTTAGACAATTAACTTGTTTAGTGGCAGCTTAAAGGTTCTAGCCACCGCTTCAATCTAATCCAGTTGCTTAACTTTTTTGTGTTTTTTAACAATGATAATATATTATTTCTATTTTTTTAATTGTTCAGCAAACGAATTTATTAGTTTACTGGCAGATTAACAGTTCTAGCCTCCGCTTAACTTTAATCCAGCTGATAAAAATTCTCAATATGAATTTTATATATATTTTGCTGCATCGAGATATGCTTTCTGCTTTGTTTAGTTCATAGTTCAAGGCGCCTCCGAGTTAACTAAATGTTCAAGCTCAGGTGTGAATTCAGGTTTTGCGTGTGCTGCAGGTGGATCCGTTTGAGAGACCCAAAATGTTGCATGTTACAAATAATTGTTGTAAATTCCACGCCTGTCAGCGACAACACAATTTAGCGGCATTTTTATTGCGACTGCCAGCGTGCCAAAGGTGCATGTCGCACTTTCAGTCTATCTAACATATCTATGCATATGCATACTATAACTGCAGATATCTGTGTTTGTTCAGCTAATTAAATCAACTAAAGCCAAAAAAAAACAAACAAATTGCCAGCTACAATTGCTATGTGTGGCAAGTGGCACACACACACACACACACACACACAGGCGCACACCTTTGCCAGGGGTTGCATTTTAGCTGTTGACGCTTTGAAATTTGGGTCAATTATGCGATTTGTCGCGCCACAGACAAAACATGGCACATCCATCAGTTGCCATACGCACATGTGTCACTGGCATTGAATTGCCACTGCCTTTGAATTGGGGGCGTGGCATGGGGCTATGCTGTCTTTGCCAGCCGCAGCCGCACAGCAGGTTGCTTTGCGTAATTATTTGTCAAATTCATACTGCGACTGGCCACTAACGAGCAACAGGCAGACGGGCAGACGTTCAAACATGTTGCCCCCAATCCCCTATATACAGCTACCCCTCCCTCTAACCACACACCCAACAATTGGCAATCAATCAACAGCTCCGGCGTTTCGCTCATAATGAGCCGTGTACAAATATTCATATATATTGTTGTTGTTCATGATTCGGCTGATGGGACAGAACTTCCGCTTGGCTAGCGGAAGTTCATATCACAATTTGTTGATAGTAACAAATATAGTTAATTATCTCTTGGCTGATAACAAACAGTTAAGATAGCGGCTTATCGGATTTTAATGCGCCGCCCAAAAGTATGCAATTGTTGTTGCACAGAAATTCACAGAATTTGGTTTTATTTACAATTTGCATTTATTACATTTTTTAACAGTAAATTATGTGTTAATATAAATAAATTGTGTGTTGTGTTTTCTTTTGTATAAATCGATAGAAAATGTGTGTTCATTAAACATAAACATTATATAGAAAAAATATAGAGCACATTTTGGCCATAATTGTTGCATTTCATTAACATTTGTCATATATATATATATATATATGTGTGTGTTGTCTGCTTATTTTGTATTTAGTGTACATTAAAAGCAAATTAAATAAATTAAAAACCTAAGCGCATTTAAAGGCAAAAAAGAAAATGCATTACATGTGCTGCTAATTGTTTACAATTTTATTATCATTATTATTAATATTATTATTATTGCTTTTGCTTTTGCTTTATTGCACTTTGCACATTTGGAAGCACAACGGCGTGAATTAATAAGTTTATGTTTAAATTTCATGAAAATTAATCAATTTGCTTGAAAAGAGGCATGTTTTTTTTTTATTTTTATTTTCTCATGTGTGTATTTATAGGCATGTGCAACAAATTTGTTCGGTTTGATAAGCCGTTATCGTTGCGTATTGCTTTGCGCCAAGTTTCAAATCATCAAGATTTATTTACAATTAATTATAGCAATTTATTTGTATATCATTTCAAACGAATTTTTCAACGCATTTGTCATACAATTGTTGCTGTATATATGCATATACACATGTTTATATGCATATGTTGCTAATGCCTGTCAACTCTGGCCCCCCTCTAATTTAATGCGTTGCCCCCCTACACACACACACACACACACATGTTACTAGACAAACAAAAACAAAAAGAATACTTTGTTCTTGTGCGTGGCTATGCTCACCCACTCTCTCGCACGCACGCACGCACGCACACACATGTATGTAGCTGTAATTGTAACTGTAACTAAAGCGAATGATTTTTCGCAAGCTTTTTCGCTCCCTTCTCTCACTCTCCTTCTCGCTCGCGCAGCGACAAACTATTTAGTGCACTTTGCTGCTGCGCCCCCTCCCTCGCACTCATCTAGAGCAGTATGCATTTGCGTTTGCGTGTGTTACGTATGGGCGGGCAGAGCACCGAGCGGATGGCCTCATCAAAGACCGTTTTCAGACCCTTCTGCGTCAGCGCCGAGCACTCCAAATATTTGACAGCGGCGATTTCCTTGGCCATGGCCAAGCCCTGGGGATAGGTAATGGGCGTGAGCTTCTTGTCCTTCAGCTTCTCAATGGTCTGTTTATCGTCGCGCAAATCGAGCTTTGTACCCACCAGAATGATGGGCACATTGTTGCAATGATGACGCACCTCGGGAAACCATTTGGCGCGCACATTCTCAAAGGAGGCGGGATTCACCAGCGAGAAGCAAATGAGAAATACGTCCGTCTGCGGATACGAGAGCGGTCGCAGCCTATCATAATCCTCCTGCCCGGCCGTATCCCACAGGCCGAGATTAATCGGTTTCGCATCGACCATCACATTCGCCGAATAGTTATCGAATACAGTTGGTATATATTCGCCGGGGAAGGCATTCGTCGTATAGCTGATCAGCAGGCACGTCTTGCCCACGGCGCCGTCGCCAACAACAACACATTTGATTGCCTGCATGACGTCGTCTCAGTAGTTGCTGTTGTTGTTGTTGTTGCTTTAGTTTCTTTGTGTATCTTTTGTAGGTAGCTTATTAATTTACACTCACACACAGAAGTGCGAGGGAGGCAGCGAATTCAACAAGTTTTGGCGATTATACAACTCGTATCTGCGTTTTTTTTTTTTTGCTCACGCACTCACACAGATACACACAGTTACACAAATACGCACACACAGTTGTAGTTTTGCATGTGCAGTTAATCTTTGCATTCGATTACGATTACGTTTTTGCCTGCCCTTTTTGTTCACTTGTTTGCAATTAACTTGTGGCCCGCATGGAGAAATTTTGCACGAGCAGCAAAATAAAAACACACCCAAACGCTGTGAAATCGACGCTGACACTGAGCGAGCGAGCAAACTGCCAGAGAGCGTTAAACAGAAAAAAAATATGTGTTGCTATCGTTGTTGTTGTTGTTGTTGCTGTTGTTACTCTGGCTTAACAGCTGCACACAAAACACACACACACTAGCTGTCTCGCTTGCGCGCACTTGTGCTAGCGGCTTGCGCAAAGTATGCCGCGCACGCTCCCACACACAAAACAGCAACAGGCAACAGTGGCGTCGCGCATAGCGTGTATAGTGCTCGAACGCTGCGTGAGTCATCCAGTTGGTGACGTCTGATCTGCTCAACGCAAAGAGAGCTCAAAGAGAGAGATAGAGAGAGAGAGAGGGAGCGAGGGAGGGAGGGAGAGAGCAAGCGATCGAGAGTAACTGTGACGCTCCGAACTTATCGCTGAGCGCGTTCAGTTGACCTTGCTTTGGTCTTATTTGATGAGAATTTTCTTCTAAATTTGTGCGCCGCTTTCCATGAAATTTTCCTTGCCCACAGCGCACGCATTGTTGTTGTTGTCGTTGTTTTTGTTGTTGTAACTGCTGCTGACTGTTTTAATGGACCGCAAAAATGCACGCGTTTGCCCAATTTATCGACAATCGACACAAACATTGCAGCCCCAAAACCGACCCCAAAACCAAAACCGAAATCCCCCAAAAACCAAAAACCCAAAACCAAAAATCCGCATCCGCGTCGGCCAAAACGCGATAGCCAAAAATGCAACACAAAACGCTGTTTGTGCAAGTTTCCGCCACTGTGACCACGCCCTCCCCACCCCCCTACCATTTCCCCTCTCCCCTACGCTCTATATGCATGGGCAAAATTGTTAAAGCGGCGCGTTTCGAATTAAACGTGATTCAAAAACAACTTCAGCGATTCGTGAAATATTTTCACATCTTTTTTCAGTTAATTTCTTTGGCGTCAGTAATTGGATAATTAAATAGGCGCTGAAAATGGTTGTTTATAATAAATTTACATAAATATATTAAGTGGATAATGCAATCGATAATAATGATACAAAATATGTATGCATATAGATATGCAGAACAATTAACAATTGTTCAAGTGCGTGTTATCGTTATCGGTGGGGGGATTTTTTGAGGTTATGTGCTAAATTTAATGCGATTGAGTCATGATTATATTGAATAACACAATCAGATTTTTTGCCAAAGTGTGTGTTATCATTTTAAACTCTGCGACAGATTATGACCCGAAAGGCTTTTGTTTGACTCAGATAACATATTGAAAAATATTCGCTTTTAGCAAATAACTGTAATGGGCAAAATATTCGCACGCTTAAAATTACAAAAATTGAAAACTGAGCAAATAATTAAAGTGGAGTGAAATATATGACAGCGAATGCAACAATTATTTGATTACTGTCGCAGTCGTTGCCTCGTAATTGGCGAAGTGAAATATATACGCAAATATGAGTATATAACGCACCACGCCCACATTTTGCCACAGCCGGGGGCCATTACGAGTGAGTGCGAGAAGCAAAAGAGTTATTCATAATTTTTGTTGCAACAAAAGTGGCAGGGAAATGCATAACAAACTGAAAAATATGCACGCCATTTTTATTGCCACACCAGACGGCCACACTTACACACAGACACACACCCTCGCAGACACGGTCACATTGTGCGACTATAATGAATGAATGCGCAGCTAAAGAACCGCAGCCTGAACCGATGCCGACCCAAAAAACAAATATAAGCCGCATGACTGCTGACCAACAATAAATTTAACACTTTAACTGCTGTGTAAACAACTGGATGCTATCCAGAGTTGCTAACGGTAATGCAGGCATTCGCATGTGTTCCCATAGACGTAATCGCCTTAAATGCCATCCATTGTATATGTTGTATTCAAGTGTATACAAGGTATGCACGTAATGTTGGACTTGAGTGTAAGGGCGACAGCTTACGATCGACTTGAAGTTAGCTGCGCCTAACCAAATCGGAAACTCTAGAATATTTTACAACACTAGCTGCATGTCTTGCCAAACGATAAGCAATTTATTGAAGCGCAAACTGCTGCAATTACTTAAGGAAAACTGTTTAAATGCATATGTAACATATTTAAGGTTGAACTTTTGAAAAGTTCTGCAGATTAATTTATTTAACACTTGTTCGGTTCGGCTGCGCTTTTTGCAAATTAAATTTGTTTAATGAGTAGCGCAATAAAACGCATTTACTGTCAAGTGATAAAGTGTCATTTCACTCGGATTGCATGCACTTTTATTATTTCCACACACACACATATATACATATATACATATATATATATGCATGCTACATATTTTTCATTTATATGCCACATGTGGGCACGCCCCCAAACGCCGCCGCCTGTTGACATGCAGCAATTATTAACTTTTATGCGGCTGCTGCCATGGCACCGTGTGTTTGTTATTAATTTCTTGTTATTTATGCAAATAGTTGGCACTTAATACGCTTGTAAATATTTTTTTGCAGCAAATTGCTTTGCGCATTACAATAAATTAACAGCATAAGCGAACGGCAACAACAACAATTTCTGACACGTTTCCTGCTTATCGACAACGTGGCAACTCTGGTCGAGCGCTTTTCTTGAATTTAAAAACTATGTTGCATACCGTGTGGCGCTTCGGCTCTTACGCTTCCATAAACTCAGCTGAGTTATCGCTCGCAGACGTGTCGTCATCTCCGAATGCTGAACATATAAACATATATATATACATATATATATATATGAATGCCAATGCAGCTTCATAGTTTTTCCAGCTTCTGTTTGGCTTGGCTGGGGTCACGTCTGTCTTTCCGTCAGTCTGGAACTGCTTATGAATAAAGTTGTTGGCCTGTCAATACACACACACACACTGACACACACATGCCTGCCACCCATTCAGTCCCCCCATTCAATTGGGGTTATTTGTCGCTCTATCTAGCACGGACAGCTACGCTTTGTTGACTTTTTGGCTCTGAATGGCCGTCTATTCAATTTTTTTTTTTTGTGTACATCGCTAAACAACCGAACCACAGAAGCAGCTCTAGAGCGGGCTCCCTTCGCCTCAGTCAGAGCCTCAAGCAATTTGAAATGAAAAGTTGGCTTGCCATATAGACATGTACATATTGTAAGTGGAGAAAAAAGAAAACAAGGCGCACGAAAAAAAAGATATGTGCCGCCCATATTTGTAGGCAGTAAATAGCAACAAGGCACGGTGACGAAATGTGTCCTTTGACATTTGATGCCTGATAATCCTGGCCGGCAACGCACACAGAGGGCGGGCTGACTGGCTTTTCAACAGCTTTTCGGCATCGGTTAATGGCCTGCTGCATTATTTAGCACAACGCAAGCCAATAAAAATTGCTTTAAAATACATTCACGTCAACTTGTTGACTTTAAGCCGTAGACAATGCAGCGCATTAAGCGTCCTGCTTGCCAGGCCAGCAAGGATGTGCCAGGCGGTAATTACGCTCTGCCATAAAATGCCGCATTATACGCTTTTTATGTAGGTTAGCATTTAGCTCGTTGGGCAGCCTCTATCAAATTGTTTCGAGTATCAAAAATATTCATTTAAGTATTCAATTACTTTATTTCAAATGGGTTTTAAGTGGAAATTACTTTGTTTAAGGCAAATGTTTGCCTATATATATATATAAGGAATATTCGATACACAATTCTGGGCAAACCATTTCTGAATCCTTTTGTAGTTTTAGAAGGATTCAAGTTGCGATTATAAAATTGACCATCTAATTTTTTTTATTACTTTATTATATATGTTTATATATATTTATATTAATTTATATTTAGAATTTAAGGAAACTCTTCTTGAAATATTTCTTACCTGATTAGAAGCAGAAATCGAATAGACCAAAACTGCGCTCAAATAAGTCGATATACGAATATGAAGCTTAAGATTTGTTCTTTCAAGCCAATTGAAGACTACATTTACTATATACCCGTCCATCTATTGACTAAACGAGGGTAACTTCAACTTGAAGAGTATCTCAAATTCGTCTAGTTCGCACAATTTTCACACTCAATTACAAAGCTGGCACATGTGCTCGGGCCTGTTGAATTGGCGTTTTTCAAGTTTATCCGCGACGACTTTTACTTTACGCCCAGCATCTTAATTTACTTTTGCACTCAGGCAGCTGGAAAAAGAAGTGCAGACCCGGCCTAAAACAACGGCCGGGTGGGAGAGGGGCAGGTGAGAGGTAGAGTGTAGGAGTTGCAAAGAATTACGGCAATTTCCTGCACAATTTCTTGTGGTTGAACTTGCCTGGCAGCAGCGTATGTTAGCAGACGAGACCGAGACACACACAAACACACAGTAACACACATACACACACACACACAAATACACAACACACACACATACGCATAGTTTTTTTTAGCCAGCGCTCAGCAGTGCAGTTAATTATAATTAAGGCGAGTTAACTAACCACTTGCCAGGCACTTGAAGAGCCCTGCTCTCAGCGGCAAAGGGGTAGTCGGAATAGGGGGAAAAGGGGGGAGGGGTGGGGGGAAGGGTATGTGTGCAATTTAAATTTGTCAGCAACTGCGGGCTGTTGTTATTTGTTGGCTTTAATTAAAGCTGCGTTCATTAAAAAATGTTTGTTGCCAGCGCCCCAAAAAGTAGGCCACAAAAAGTGTTGCATATTCAAAGGCTCGACGGTTATTCAATACGGCATTCGGATTTGGCATGGCGTGTGGCACGTTTGCCGTTGTTGCGGCTGCAACAATGGGGCATGTTAGCCGTCAAGGAAGCTGCGAGCTGTTATGCAAAGCCGCCAGCGGCGACATTCCTTCATTTGCAAGGACAATGCGACAACGGGCGGCACAATAACTGGGATGGGCTGGTTCAAAATAGAAAGCGTTGAATGAATGCAACCACTGACTGGATCTGGGCAGACAGTCGGTAGCTGCTGGGGGTGTGGGGGGTGGGTGGGAGGTGGGCACTGGCAGCATACACTGATGACAGCCGGCAGGAATGCTATTATAATAAATAAAGCGCCTTTCACTCATAACTGCCGCACAATGAAGCACTGAATATCTCTTGTCTATAGCTGTAGCTGTAGCTGTAGCTGTATCTGCATTTGTAGCTGTATCTGTATCTGCATTTGTATTTGTATCTTTGTATCTCTGTTTGAGCTTGAACAATGCGCACACTTTTAATATAGCTGATGGCAACTGGTTTTCGTATCGAATACTTTAATCAGCTGCGACTTGAGCTGTGCCTTTGGCAATTAAAGACAACTGCTGCGCTCATAAATATGCAATAAATATGTGCGCACACACACACACGCATACACATATTCGCACTCACTTTGCTGCCAGCGGCTATTGCATAAAAATCACATTAACAATTTGCTGCTACAAGAGTATTTTATTTTTATTGCTGCTTGTTTTATTTGTATTTCATGCGGCGCCTCTTACGCTATGCAAAGCACACACACACACACACACGCGCGCGCACACACACATTGTACACACATGTTGCCAGCAGCAGGAAGCAGTTGCTGCCGGGATCAGTGCTATGTTGTGCAGTGTTGCCATCGAAAAGCGCAATAAAAACGCTTAATTTTTCACTTTTACACGAACGTGAATAACGAACGCCTCCATTGTTGTTCCTGTTGTTGTTGTTGTTGTTGCTGTAGTTGCTGTTGCTGTTGTTGGTGTTGAGTGTGCTGTCGCTTGTATGTAAGCCATTTAAAAGTTATTTAATTTAATAACACGCACAAAACATGTTCCAAGTAAAAGCAAACGAACATAAATACGAGACACACTCTCGCACACACTTTGCTCCTGCGATGGCGACTAAAATGTGGCAACAGTCCTGCCAGAGGGGGGTTGGTGGGAGGTGGGGAGTGGCTTGGGTGTGCCAGTTCTTGCCGCACAGCTCTAATGCACATATATGCGTAGCTTACTCAAATGCATTTGCCAGCATATTTTTATGCACGCATCAACAAGCATTTATGATTGTAGCTGAGTATTTGAGCAATATTTAGTTATTGTTTATAAATATTTAAAAGGGTTGCCATATTGTGTATCAAGTATTGCGAGTGTTATGAAAAAGTGTTACCTAATGTATTTAAAAATTCCTCAACTTAATCTTGAATATATCTAAATATAAATATATGTGAAATAACATCTAGCTAGCTCTCTAAGATCTAGATCGTTCTTAATCGATTAGAAATATCTTTTTGTAGACTGAGAATAATTCAATATCATATCTAAGAGTTCATTTTGCCATCAGCCGAAACATATTCGAAAGCCCAACAAAGCAGATACCTCATAAAAGTTTTTTTTATAAAAAATGGTTCAGCTGTACCCACAACTTGTTACATATTTAAAGCTTTATCAATTTTTTGTTGGCAAACTGTGTTTTTTAAATTAAAAAGGCATTTTTGCATTTTAATTGCATGGCGATAAGATTAAATTCACAAAAACAAACAGTGCTTGGATAAATGAAATAAAAAAAACGCAGACGGCAAACGATATGCCACGCATTGCAATGCTATAGATACCCATTGATATTTAAGCCGCAGCAACAACAGACGCGAGTGTGCGAGAGGGAGAAAGGGAGAAAGGGAGAGAGAGACAGAGAGGAAGGGATACACAGACAAAACGCGATTGTCAATTTGTATTTATGTTGCCTGTTTCCGGTTGTTGTTCTTATTTTACAGATTTAACAACAAAGCGACAAGCTGTGGGTACACGTTGAAAAGTGAAAAATCAGCCGCACACAAAGGATACACAGGACACAGAGGACACACAGGGCAGCTGCAAATCCGCAATCCGCTTCGGCAAACCAAGGCCAAATGCAATAAGCTGCAGCCACGCACACAAAGCCATAAACAAAGCGCAGTCCTGCCCTCCAGACTCCCAGCCAACCCCAGAAAAAGCAACAGCAGCAGGAGTGGGAAGAGCAGCCGCCAGGATTGCTTTCTTGTATTTTGGACACACGTGCGCCGCGGCTGCGCCGTTGCCGTGCCCGTTGCCCGTGTCCTTGCCAGCGCCAGCACCAGCGTCAATCGCATCGCCTTCGGCAACGGCGGCCACAATGAAGCTGTCAAAACTGTCCAACCAGACGAACTCACAGGATCCGCAGGCGGTCAACTCGCGCATCTTTGTTGGCAATCTGAATACATTTCAATGCTCCAAAACGGATGTGGAGCGCATGTTTCAGATCTACGGCCGACTGGCAGGTGAGTCGCCAAATGCCGCCAGCATCTACTCGGCCTAACCCAGACAGCCCATTACATATATCTCTATATATATATACACCTGTCCCTTTACCCGCAGGCATCTCCATGCACAAGGGCTATGCCTTTGTGCAGTTCACCAATCCCTTCGATGCCCGCAACGCCTGTCACGGCGAGGATGGCAAGACGGTGCTTAGCCAGACCTTGGGTGAGTCTCTTTATGCTACTTTTGCGTACTCTTAACTGTGATTAGGGGTATTCCATTCAGCTCTTAGAAACATCACAATTCAAAATTCGTCCCAGCTTACTAGCAAAATCCTTTTCTATATACTAAACCTCAATAACTTTGTGTTTATTGTGCACATTTTCTTCAAGGCATTTTTTCGGCCACGATCTGAACTTCAGTTTTTGTTTATTTATTTCCTTGTTAAAATCCATTTCAAGAAATTTATACATAGCATCCCAAGTCTCAGTTCTAAAATTTTAACTCCCAACACATTGTTCGTAATTTTCAGAAAGTTTGCCTTTCTTTTCTTTCGTACAGCTTGAGCTCTACATTCATTTTTCTACAAATTTCTTGTCAAATATTATGACTTTATATTGAAGGGAATGTTTCCGACATCCATAGCAAGCGCCCTTTGCTTGCTTTGCGAAAACTGAGCTTATTCTCTTAAAGAATATATCTTTATATAATTAATGTATAAACCTTGAAACCTCATCTTTTTACTAAAGTTAATGTCATAAATGTGTTACTCGTAACAACTCAAGACCCCATTCAGAACTTTCAGCTTCCATTTTCATATAGGATATCTAGCTAGTCGTGATGAAACCTCAAAACTGAATTCGCCTTTTTATCTAAAAATAAAATTAAACAATTTCATTTCCATCTTTCTGCCCATGATTTAACTTATAGGAAGAATCAATTTTGGATTCTTCCTTTTTATTAGAAAACTATTTTTCTGCTTTCAATTTTTTTTTTAAGTTTTGGAACTTTCATAACTGTGTCAAAACTAAAACCATATTTTAAAGGATCATATTTTTGGCCATAGTTTGACCTCGAGATCAAGAAATCAGAATTTCCTTATTTTGAAGTATGTTAAGTTTTTGCCGGCCTTCGTCAAGAACCTACGCCAACTTGCATACACATGCGATTATGTACAAGGAACTTGAAATTCATTATTCCTATAGCGCCCAGATTGTTGGATAGTAAATTCTTGGCCCCAGAGTGTGTGTGTGGGGAGAGGGGGAAAGTCTTTTGCATAGACATGGCAGACCTTAACCCTCGCATAGCTGCATGTCCGATGTGGTTGGGCCGCCAGGTTAATGGCCGCCGTTGCCGGAAGCGCAGCACTAAAATCGAACAAGCGCGCGAAAAAACAGCAGCGCAGTTTGGTGAGGGGGAGGGGAGAAGGCGGTGTGGTAATAGAGCAATAGCAGCCCTGGCTATAGAGCTGAGGCCCTGGCATGTGTAGTGGCCATATCTTAGACTGTCTGCGTATTTTTGTGCAGCGGAAGTCGCTGCAGGCCGCAACTTAAAGTGCGGCCCGACATAAATCCTGCCGCGATACTTTTAATGAAATTTCAATGTTGTGCGGAAATATGTGTGTGCGAGTGTGGCTGGCTGCCTGACAACTGACTGTTTGTCGATTTAATTTAAGCGCTTAATGAAATTTCAAGCCGCGTCACTTGCAGCTGCAATGCAACAGGCCACACAGACAGACAGACAGACCGTCAGATAGACAGACAGACAGACAGACAGACAGGTGACTGAGAACTGAGAACTGACTGGCGGCAAGTCTTGGCAATACTTTCGTGCGTGTCTCTCGTGTGAGCGAACAACTTAATGCACTTAGCGCGCGTTGTCGGTCGATTCGAAAAATGACAACGCTGTGTATGCGGATGCTGTCATATAATTCATATAGCTCATACGCCCCGTTGGCGTGCAACGAATAAAACTTTTACGTCGCACATAAAAAGCATTTTGTGCTTATGCAAATGCAGCATGCTAATTTCGCGCCGATTAGCGAGCGCCAGCTTTAACAAAAATAAAAATAATAATAATACTTAAATGGATAAAAAAAGAAACAAAATGGAGAGAGACACAGTCCTGCCGCTCGAGTTGAGTGGCCGGACGCTGTGTAATATTTCAGTGTGCCACGCGCCATTGACTTTTCAGAGACGCCACAGCAATGTGGCCTGGCCGGCGTGTAAACCGATTTGCAGTGCGGCAATGCCTTTTCAAAAGTTGCGCAAATCCTTCTTACGCTTTTATCCTTAATCTTAATTATTGCCCGCCAGCAGACGGCAGCCAGCACTTCCAGACAAACAGTGAAAATTCTTGAGCAGCAGCGGAAACCAGCGAAAAAAAAAATGCAAAGCTGCCACACCCCAGTCCAGTGTAATTTGTAGTTATAGCAACTCCGCCCTTGCCCCGCCCTTGCCCCAACCCCAGCTGAGGCTTGTCTTCATTTGGTTTTTTGGTTTTTTTTCTGGGCGCTTTTTAGCCACCCCGCGGCGCACTTCAAAGTTTGTCATGAATTATGATGAACGAGCGCGCGCGGCCACAGAATCCAACGTAAACGTAAAAAACAGCCGCATGTCGCACCCTTTTCATTGAAAAATGAAATGTTTAATGCATTCGGGCATGATTTTGGCTTCCACATGGGCTTGGCATGCAGAGCGTGCAGGGTATTTTTTTGTGGGGTGTGTTTGTCGGGCAAAATCTATCATGGAATATTTCCAATTATGCTTGAGATTGGAGGAAAGCACTTTTACTCGCGTGATCTTAACTGGGCTAATATGTAAAGTTGATTAATTACTTACTTTCGCTTTACTTTCAATATAAAAGTTATTGCTAGTTAAAATTCTTACTTAGGTAAAGTAAATTCCGTCTTCCGTCTTTTCTCAACATAAAAAAAATTATGTTAGCTGAAGTTCTGACTTTAGTAAAAAATTTCTGTCTTCTCTCTTTTTGGGCTTTGAGCCCGAATCGGCATAAAATAAAAGTTAACTAAATAAAGAATAATATTAAATTGCTAGATTCGTCTGTTTCTTAATCCCAACTAATTTGATTCAAGTTTGGGTCTATGGATTCGAACTCTTTTAGCACAAAAACAATTTGCAGCCTGGATTATAATTCTTTCTGCAGAGTAAACTTTGAGTAGAGCATACAAACTTCGTTTATACAAAATAAATATTTATTACTCTGCCCCTTGACTAATGCCAAGAGATCTGGCAATGTTTTTGGCCGCGTTTTTATTAAGATTAATGATACAAAGTCCGATGAAATTATTAAAACGCAGCAAAAGGCACACATTCCGCCCCTGTTTATATTTTAATTACTTAGAGCTCAACATTTGCATAATGAAAAATCAACAAAAACTAAATCGAAATAAAACATAATAGAAGCCGAAAAAAGAAATGGCATTGTCTAAATTTTACTTAGCATTCACTTCAAAGGCGCACAAAATGTTTTGTTTTCTCTGTGTGTATTTGGCACAAAGCAGCTTTTCCATTGTTGCCCGGATTAGATGGTCTTAGAGCAGAGTTATTTAGCCGATTGTTGTTGTGCTTTTATTTTGATTTTGATTTTGGTTTTATTATCATTGCAGATGTCAACATGGTGGCCGAGCCGAAGGCGCATCAAATTGGCCGAAAACGCCAGAATGTCAGCAAAACGGGCAACGATTGGTGAGTAGAAAATGTAAACTGAATTAAATAGAAAACAATTTCACAATTCAAAATACAATTTCATGCTTCACATTTTAATTTAAGACAAATGCAAGTTTCTTGCGCACAATTTAATGCGGCCATGTGGCGCTCATTTAGAGTTTATTTACATATCATTTAACCGGCCGGGCTGTGGCTCGGGACTAGGCTGAAAGTTTTTCTGGCGAGAGGGTAGGGGGGCATAGGACAGGCGCACAAATAAATAAATAAATAAGGCGCAATCCATCAGGGCATGGACACGGACGTATTCGTATCCTTTGTCTCTGCCACACATAAAATATTTTGGCTGTCAACACTATGCGAGAGTTTTTTGTTGCCAACTCCCCGACTCCAACTCCGACTCCCACTTCGATGCCAGCTACATCTCCGTCTCCATTTGTGTCTGGGTCAGTTGTGTGTTGTTTCGAGTGCTGCGTCAACACACACACACACACACACAGAAACTGTGAAAAAATGGCGCCTGGCTCTCTGTGACTGTGACTGTGACTGACAGCTGCAATGTATGCTATAATATCCTTTTGGCTCGGGCTCCTGGCGCTGACATGTGCACTTGTTTGTCCCTGGCGCTGCCTTAATGATGACTGAGCGAGCTACCAGGCGGCGCATTCACAATTTATTTATTTTTTTTTTATATTTCGGGGGGCCAACGTCGACTCGCCACTCGTGTGGAAATATTTAATTTAAGCTTAATGACGCCGAAAGGAAGTGCGTTAAGGCTTTAAAAAGGCACTGACAGCAACTTGATTGTAATTAAAACGCAAACATTTCTCCCGCTGCCAACGCCCAGGTGAATGGTTGGCTGGCTGGGTGGGTGGCTGGTCCATGGGCTCGTGTTTGTCATTTAAATGCCAGCTCAGTCCATTGACCGCACACAAACTGACCGTAAAAGCCACAATTGCTGTCGCCCCCCTTCTGCCGCACGACGATATGAAAACTGAACCGAATATTGAACCACAAATGGATACGGACGCTGGCAATTGTATCAATCACAGGCAACGTACACAGTGAGCCAGTTGATGTGGAAGGGGGCTTGGCACATAATTGGCAAATGACAATTGAAACGGCGTGACGGTCACAGTTTGAGTCCTAAACAAATATTGACTGGCAGGCAGGCAACAGTTGGCAGGCTGTTCATTTTTTTACTTCTATGTTTTGCCACAATTTAGGGCTAACAGCAGCCAAGTTGACACTTCAATTAGAGCGCACTATTAATGAGCTTGTCACCATTTAAATGCCTTGCAGGGACTACTTCTATGACAGCTACTGCTCCTCGGCGCTGCTGCGCGGCGGCGGCGGCGGCGGTGCCAACGGCGTGCGGGCCAAGAAACGCAAGCGTCTGATGACCAGCAACAACAGCCTTGTTGCTGCGGTGCAACAGCAGCAACAGCAACAGCAGCAGCAGCAGCATGGCCAGCATCATCACAGCGCCGCTGCAGTGGCCGCTGCGGCAGCTGCTGCGGTGCATCATCAGCAGCAGGCGCAGGCGGTGCAGCAGCAGCAACAGCAGCATCAGCAGCAGCAGCACCATCATCATCATCAGCAGCAGGTGGCAGCTGTTGCCATGGCGGCCATGGCCAATTTGTTGCCACAACAGCAGCTGTTGCTGCATCAGCAGAATCTGCTGTCGAATGCGGCAGCCGTGGCCAGCACGGCGGCAACAACAGCGGCGCCCGGCGCTCTACACTGGTCGCAATATAAACAGGAGCAGCAGCAACAGCAACAACAGCAGCAGCAGCAGCACCAACAACAACATCAGCAGCAGCAATTTGTGGCCGCTGCCACAGGTTTCCAGTTGAAGAGCGTCATCGCCGGGCAGTCAACGACTTCGCCACAGAATGCAAAGTCAGCAATAATTGCTAATCAAACAGCGCTCGTGGAAACGTACGGTGCCTTTTCCCAGCAGCCGTCGCATCACCAACAGCATCAACAACAACAGCAACAACAGCAGCAACAGCAACAACAACAGCAATTGGGCTGCCTGCTGCAGCCGTTGACTTTGGCATTGTCCCCACAGCAACCGCAGCCGCTACAATTGCATAGCCAAATGATGCAGCAACAACAGCATCAACAGCAGCACCAGCAACAACACCAACAGCAACAACAGCAACAGCAGCTACAGCTACAGCAGCAGCAACATCAGCATCAACAGCAGCAACATGCACAGGAGCAATTAAGTTTGCATCAACACTGGGGACCATTCAAAGTCTACAGTGAGTATTGACTTGATTTGTTTGCATTGTTTGGCTCAGTATTGGCAATTTAAGACTACTGCATTGATTAACAATTATTTGCTAGCTCATCTCTCATTTAAAGTAACTATATTTAAAATGATTTATTTACTATCTCAAACAAGCTAGCTATGTAGCACGTAGATAAGATTTTGGTGAATTCCACCGACAAGGGTGAAATAAGGGCGGAACTGAAGTAAAAATTGGTTCTCTGATATCAGCTTGTAATTATAATGATAACTCCAAAAACGATTTATTAAGAGTAGAAAAGCTTAAGACATATACGATGACAGCAAGAGAAGCCCAATTGATTGACTGACTGATTGTCTGTTTGAATAGCTGACTAGTTGTCTGAGAGACTAACTGTTTGGCTGACTGAGTGACTGACTGACTTATTGACTATCGGCCTGATTGTCGGACTGACTAACTGATTGACTGGCTAATTGCCTGACTCATTGAGTGATTGACTGACTGATAGACAGACTAAGTGACAGGTGATTGATGACTGAATGATTGGCTGACTCATTCATTGATTGACTGACTGACTAAATGATTGTCCGGCTTATTGAATGATTGACTGGCTGATTGGCGTGACTAATGCACAGACTTACAGACTGACTGATTGATGGAATGACTGAATGATTGGTGTTTAACGTACAGCTTAAATCCGAAAAGCTACGACAGCTAAAAACAAGCCCAGCTGCTACCTGTATATATATAAGGTCATCTCCTAGTCGGGCAGCCTCGATTGGAGTAAAATTGCCTTGTTAAACTTGTCAAAAATGACGCCTTTTGAGCACGATGAAGCGCTCGTGTCTCTGAAAATGAGAAATGTGTCAAAGTCACAGGCTAGGCGCTAATATATATCATTTCGCCGTTCTAATCGCAACTATCCTGCAAGTCGTCCACCCCGAAGAGCTACAGCCGCCATTTCAGGCACAGTCGCAGTCACAGCCAATGCAAAGTTCTCCATTTGCAGTACAACAGCTGCACCGATTGCCGCCCGCTTATCTTAAAGGACTACTCACCCTCAAGGGCAGGCTGCTGGCCAACAACGTCCAGTTGAGGCCCGCCCACAATCCCAACAGCCTCAATAACCCCAACAACCTGAACAGCCTTCAGTGGCGTTCACAGCAGTCGAACGTGGAACAGAACAACCTGCAACTGAAGCCCCCTCTTGGCCCGAACAGCCCACAGTTGAGCTCGCAGCTGTCGAACGTGCAACATAGTTTTCGTGAGGCGATCTCTGATCTTAATTTGGGGCTCGACATGCAGCGGGAGGAGGCGGCCAAGGAGCGTGCCGAGGCCAAGGATCGGCTGCACGAGCAGCTGAACCAGCTTGAAGCGGATCTGCAAAAACAAGATAATCAGCTGCACCAGCGGGAATTGCTTTTGGCTGCCCATGTGTCCTCGGAGCTGCCTCAGCAGCTGGAGCAAATGCATGAGCAATTGCCATACGAGCAGCTCGAGGTGCAGTCGCCGAGCAGCCAGTCGCAGATCCAGCCACAGCCCATGGGCCTGCAGCCGACAGTGCAGTCGCCAGCGCAGCAAGAGCTGTCCGTACGGGATTCGCCTCAAACGGATGGCGGATCGAATAACGATGCCAAGATGCAGCTGTTGCAGCAGTTAGCTGATGTTTTTGGGCAGGAACAGCAGCAACAAGAGCAGCAGCAACAAGAGCAGCTAAAGCAACAGCAGCATCAACAGCAGCAGCATCAGCAGCAGCTGCCCCAACAGCAACAACAACGAGTGCGCTTGAACGCCACGCCGACTGATCCAGAAGAGGACGACGACGACAACGACAACGATGACAACGACGAGGAAAACACAACGGTTGCGGATGAGGAGGAAGAATGTGATAGCACGTTGCCGGCCACCACGGCGAGCACAAGAAAGCCCACAACAAAGCCGCCCGAGCATGAGGAGCCCGTGACAATGCGTGTGGGAGCTGATACAACCAAGTCCGAACTGAAGCTTACGCTCGTGCCCAGGCCCGAGCCCACAGCACAGCCAACAACAAGCACAGCTGCAACACAGCCAACGATCGCGGCCATGACGCAGCCTAGTTCCACAATAGCCACTGGGGGGACCACCAGCAAGAAGCTTCACTGCTGCACCAAGCCTCAATCCAAAATGTTCAAAGCGTTAAAGCTGCTGAGCCTCAAGAAGGAGCAGCGGCAGCCACAGCAGCGGGTCCATCGACGCGCCAAGAGCGGCATCAAGCCCGATCTGCGAATCGAAGCAATTGCCACATTGCTGCAGTATCGCAATAGCCATAGCGAAGTAGCTCATACCGAGCACAAGGAGCCGGTTCGGGTGAAGGAACCTCAAGTGCAACAGACACGCCCAGGGAAGAAAAAAAGAAAGCAAATGAAAAGGCGTAAGATGATGTCACGCCAACAACGCAGCATCGTCAGTAGAAAGCAGCTGCTGCAGGCTGAGATATGGCCCATTAAGATATCCACTTGAGACTTTACAATGGACATTTGTATTTACAATAAATATATTTTATATTATACAATTTATGCAACAAAAGCAGATTAGAATTTCAGTAAAAGTCATGTTTATTGTAAAGTTCGCGGCCACAAAGTAACCAGGAAGATAAATTGTGCCGGCTTTTCAAGCCTGAATGCAAACTGAGACTTAATCTGTTGCGAATGTCAAAAAAATTTCATTTTTATTGTTAATAAGTAAATAATACACCAAGAGTGTAAATGTTGGTGCGTTTTCTCAACTTCATTGTATTTTAACATAAGCTTTTATATTCAGCATTATCTAGCAAAAAAAATGAGCATGTTAAATAATATGGGTCTAACATGTTTATTCAAATTTCATTTCAACTATATCATGAGGATAAATTATGGTGCGTTCTCAAAGCTTGTTGTAAATTTGAACTTTTGTGTTTTCTGGCAACGCCAAAGTCAGCAAAATAATGTAACCAAATCAATTTATAAAAGACTTATCATCTTGACTGGGCGTGATTGCTCTTCATATAGTTCCACATTTTCTTTGTTCCATTGCCAACAACTTATTCGTAATAATTGCACCAAAGTCCATATTTTATGTGCGTATATCTTCTTTATTCTAGGCAATCCGGACACATTAATCTGCGGCAACTGCCGGGAATGCTTCAACGAGCTGTCTGAGTTATTGGACCACAAGAAAAGTTACTGCAAACTGAGGTTCACATGCAAGTGCCAGGATGTGGCCTTTGCAGCAAGTAAGTCATACAATTCCTCACGTGGGGCGTGGGGCGTGGGCGTGGTCATTAATTTATGATTGTTAAACACTTTTTGAGCCCCTTGCCTGCGTCAAGTGTCCATGTGTCTGTGTTTATCTAAGGCTCCGGCCTTGTTGCAAGTCAGCAACATCTGTCTGTTGTTGCGGCTGCCTGAAAATTCATTTAAAATTGAGTTATTTATGCGAGTCTAAGCCAGCGCCCAGTACGCAAAATTCCAACTTAAATAACTAATTAATTCTTGCATGTTTCGCCCACGCCAACAAACACACACAGAAACGCCGCCAACGAGCGCCAAATTGCTTTGCGCCGTTTGCAAGGATGCATTCGCCAATCCCTGGGATTTGATGGTGCACGCACAGGCCGCACACATGGTTAACATTTACGAGCTGGGCGATGAGGTCGTCGCCAACGGCCATGGCAACGACAACGGCAACGGCAATCCCAGCCCCAGCAACAACAACAACAATGCCAACGATCCGACTGCAATTGCAGCCAATGGACATGGAATGGCCACGGCCGTGGCCGTTGCTGCTGCTGCTGTTGCTGATGATGAGGCAACAACCATAACAAAGCACATGCCAACGTCAGCAACACTTAACAAGGAGCCAAATAACAATAACAAAATTAGCAACAATAACAACAACAACAACAACAACACCATCATCAATGGCCACATGTCACCCACAGCCCACGGCAACAACATTGCCGCCGTTGCAGTTGCAGCAAATGGCATTGATGTTGCTGCTGCCGTCGAAGCTGACGCCGACGTCGACGCAGCTGCCGCTGCGGTCGTCCACGATGGCCAGGCCAGCAGCGATACGGAGACATCGCACTGCATGGACATCAAGTTTGGGCTCTGCGCCAGCCCCAAGGAGGTGCGTCTAATGGGCCGCCAAGTGTTGCTTCTTTTGCTAGAGTCAAACGCTTTCTTCTTCTAGGATCCGCAGCGTGACGATCTGTCGCTGGATGGACGCCTGTCGAGCAGCTCACAGACCCATCACTCGGATGACATCAATATGAATATTAAGCTAATTAACGGTTCGGTGTCCTCGCGCGGCAGCTCGCCCGGCTTGGAGTCGGATGAGCCGCCGGCAACGCGCGCCTGCATTGTGCGTACCCTGAGCATTGTGAGTATGGGCAGAGATATTTAATATTATAAATATATTAATATAATACAACTGATTGATTGTCTAACTGATTGACTGACTGACTAATTGACGCTTAGACTCGCCGTTAGACTGACCAATTAACGAACTAAATAGCTGTTTGAAGGGCTGACTGATTGACTGATTGATTGTCTGATGTATAAACTGAGTAACGGAATCAGTGACTGATGATTGACGGAGTGACTGACAGATAGGGTGATGGACTGGCTGACGGGCAGTCTGATTATATGAGATTGACGTGACTGATTGACTGATTGATTGGATGATTGATTGGATGATTGGATGATGAAGTGATTATCTAAGTGACAGACGAAGTGATTGGTCGATGGACTAGCCGACTGTCTGACTGCTTAACAGGCTGACTGACTGATTGAACGATTAACTGATTGTCGGACCGACTGACTGATTGACTGGTTGAGGGCTGGAACACACCGTATGATCCGTATGATTTAAGCATCTTATTTTGAGCACTTTTTGGAATTCCCCAATTGAAAAACATTAGCTCAATCGGCTTGCTGGAACAACTATAAACTATCGTTGTTATCTTGACATATTTTCAGGAGGCTGCTGGTGCCACGACCACGCCCACTGCGAATGCCTTGAGCCTGATGTCGAATGGCCTCAGTTTGGCACTGGCACCGCAATAGGCCAACTTAATATATAACAATCAGGCTGGACTTAATTAGAATCAAAAGCGCGTGAATCAGAATCCAGATATATTCAGAATTTAGGTACCATAATATTTTAGATTTGTGTGCAGATAAAAAAGGGTATTTAAAATACTCGTGTTGCTTTTGGCTTTGTGTATTGAGAGTGTAGTCGTGAGTGCGGTGCAAGTGCAATTTATTCAGTATTTTTGTACTAGACTTAAACTGAGCAAAAATTGAAAGAAAAAAGAACAACATAAACGTAAATTACAGCAAAACATATCATTTTAAATGTAGCAACTAGATATTACAGTAGCTATAACAATTAAAACTAATTATATAATATCTATGTGTGTATGTACCAAATACTATATATGCCTGTCTTGTCTTTCTGTTCGTTTTCGATTTTGTTTTTGAAGCAAAGCATAGTTTGGGTTTCAAAACTGCATATGAGAACATATAGGTAAAAAGAAAAATATTTAAAAAATAGCTGGAAATAGTCCTCGAAAGTGGTTTAAATACAGTTTTTAGGGCGAGTTAAACGGCATTATGTAGGACAAATGAGCTTTGTATATAGTTACAAATAACAAATGAATTAATTATTGTTAGCTGACAGAATGAACCCAAAACTTATATTTTATATACATAACATAATTTAACGAATATTTAATATATATATTTAACAAGCCAACAATATTATTATTCAAAATACGTACCATGTGTATCAAATGTAGCATAGTGACAACAGGTGTTTCAAAAACAACAGCAAAAAAAAAAAAAAACTAAACAAACCTTTTGCAAAGTGTCCCCAAGAAAAACCAAAAGGCTTAAAAGTTATAATTACATAAACGGATTAATATTTAAAATTAATATATATACTACTTACATACACAAACAGTAGCTGCTATGTAAATAGTTTAGTTATATGCCACAAATTAAAAAAACAAAAACAAATAAATATATTGTAAACTGTAACAACATTCAATTCAGTGTCCTCCAGTTAAACATGTAAACAGGCAAGAAAAAAAAAGAAAGTGTATTTAATAAATGAATATTATAAAAAGCAACTATTTGATTTGCTTGAACTTTGGTTCACAAGAGATGCACCAAGGTGGAAAATCGTTTTTCAATATTCTGTTTTGTTAAATATTCGAATATTTATTTGTTTTAATTTTGAATATGAACATGAAATATTAGTTAAATTTTTTAAGTTACAATTAGTTTTTATAACAAACTGAATTGTTTTATTTAAACATGTGGAAATATTTGGGAGTCGAAGGCGTTCATCCCGAGGAAATTTCTGCTTGGCCTACAGCACTGAGAAAAACTTAAAGCTAAGATCAAAATCCTGAGGAAAAGTGAAAGTTGCACAACAAATTTCAAATGCAAACAGGCGGCAGGGACTCTCCGGCGGAGTTTTCAGTTTCGGAACACATTGGAAATTCTATTTGGAAGCTCATTAAAATAAATGATGATCAACTGCACACGACGCAGACGGCGACGACGCAGTCTGTAAACAGGACAACAACAAGGACATTGCAAACATTGTTGAAAGCAGAGCGCCACGTTAATGAAAAGCGCCAACAAAAGGTGAGCCAGTGTGGAGGGGGGAAGGGAGGATGCTCGTCCTCCAAAACTTGCGGCACACAATGCCAAAATGCAGTTAACTTTATTAAAATGCGCAACGAAAAGGGCAACTGTTTGTTGTCCTTGCCGCTGGGGCAGGAGAACCGCCGGCACCCAAAAAACATAGAGAGAAAAAACAATTTTATTGCCGCTTAACTGCGGCTCCAGCTCAACATGGCGACTGCGTCTGCATCTGTAACGTGTGCCGGCCGTTTAGTTTCTGTTTCGAGGTCGAGCTAAGCGCCTGCGGTCGAGTCGAGTCCGGGATTTAAAATGCATGAGCAAATGGCAAACGCAGGCAACAGTCAGCAGGCGGAGGCACTGCAGCAGCCGCTATTCAATTTGGCCGGGGCTGGGCAAAACTTAAAGTGCGCAGCGGCTAATTAGAATGCCTCGCCCAGTTGCCAGTTGCCGGTTGCCCCAGTCCAGCAGGGTGGCTGCCGCAAAGGTAACATTTAGCCAGTTGAAATTACGAGTGGCAGCTCCTGTTGGGTTGGGTACCTGGTCGCAAATTACGCGAGCTTAGCCAATGAAGTAATTGAAATGACACCAAAAACTAGCGTGAACTAGCAACATTTCACACCATTCCCACACACACACACACACACACACGTTTCACACGGCGTATGCGTGATGCGGCAGCTGCGTGCGCGTCTATGCCTGGTTCCTTGGGGGCTGGCAGTGCATCCCAGTGGTATAATAATGGAACGCCCGTTCAGCATAAGCTATATAAGCCGAGGACCTGGCAGCCGCTCGCCTGATTCAGTCAACGTAGCCGGAACGCGTCGGTCATGTCGTCGAACAGCACACAGCCACAGACGCCCGTCAATGGACTGGAGGTGCCCAAGCAGGTCAATCTTGGTACGCTGGCCACCTCGAATCAGTGGAAGCGTGCGGCGCTGATGGCCAAGTCTGCATCGGCTTGCCGGGAGACCAATTCGGATGACAGCGAGGACGAGGTGGACACCAAGCAGCAGATCAAGTACGGCAGCGGCTTCCAGGCGGCCAAGGCCATCATCCACGAGTATTGCGACTACAGCACGATCCATGGCATCCGTTATCTGGGCGAGAAGAAGCGACCGTGGCTGGAACGTTTGTTTTGGGTCAGCGTGTTTATGCTCTCGATCTTCACCTGCTGCAAGCTGACCCTCAACATCTGGGACAAGTGGAACAACAATCCGGTGATTGTCAGCTTTGCGGAGAAATCAACGCCCGTGTGGCAAATACCCTTTCCCTCCGTCACCGTCTGTCCCGAGACCAAGTCACGTCAGCGGGCATTCAACTTTACGGACATCTATTGGCAAATTCGCGATTTCCGCAGCAATGTCAGCGGTGTTGCCGATTTGACCGATAAGCAGTGAGTAAATTGACCAAGGATTTATCCTATATGTATAAGTTCTTGGCAAAAGTCATTTTTGTAAGAGCTCCAAGCCCAGCGACAATTGTCCTTGATTCGTTTCACGGTTCGAACCAATTCCCTGCTTTTCGAAAAACTTCGTAATTCGTGATGTCCAATTTTTGGCTTAAGCTTTGGAATATCATAAATGTTTAACATTTCATTAAACCAATTTCATTTTTAAATTTTAATTGCCCGTTGTACTGAGAATATTGCAAGCCATAAATATTTTCATATACAAGATGCGGACTAAATTTGATTCCTACCCAAATTTTGCATATACCAAAAATGGTGGTTAAATGCGTTGTTTGGGACCAAAGATATTTGTACTTTGGCTGTGATTCTCCTCGAAAAATATTCATTAAATTTCGTTCGGCTTAAGGTTCGATTCATAGCGAAAAGTATATTTACGAACCGAATTGGAATCGGTTGATTCAAAATCGTTTTGCAGTCTTGAACTGTAAGGTTTCCTATTCTTAATTTTCATAATGCATTATCATATATATGCAAGTTTTCCTCGGCATTGTCATCGATAAAGTTGACAGCTCTAAGCTATAGAATATCTAATATTAAATATTAAAAAAAAATGCACAGAAAATCAACTTACGGCGCGGTGAGTCAGGTGTGCGATGCCCCTTTGCATGACATCGATTTTGGTAACAAGACGCGAAAGGGCATTGAGATTATCGATGCACTCAGCGAGGTGATACCCCTCTTCGATGAGACCTATTTGGACTGCAAGTGGCGCAATGCGCCCATTAAATGCAACGAGATCTTTCACAAGTTCGTCACCGAGGATGGCGTCTGCTACAGCTTCAACTCGCTGAGTCCCGCTGAGATCTTTCGTGCGGAGGGGTAAGTAGCAGTTGTTGCGGAAAAAGAGATCCTCTAAGCAGCGGATTTCTGCAGCATCATACCCGATATTATATTCCGCGAGGAGAATCGTCTGGCCACGGAGTGGAATGTGGAGGATGGCTACAGCATTAGCGCCAACACCGAGACCTATCCGCATCGTGTTTTGGGCCCGGGCGCCAAGGCGGGTCTCTATTTGTTCATGGGCGGCATTGAAGTCGATTTCGATGACATGTGCCGTGGACCCGTGCAGGGCTTTAAGGTGGGTCGCTTCGAATATTTGTGATGCCAATTGCTTGATATATACCTCACAGATTCTGCTGCATACGCCAGGTGAGGTGGCGCAGGTTACGCGTCAATACTTTCGCATACCCTTCGACCAGGAGGTGCTCATATCGATACGACCCAAGATTATCACCACCTCGGATGGCCTGAAGCACTATGAGCCGCACAGGCGGCAGTGCTACTTTCAGAAGGAGCGTCATCTACGCTACTTTAACATCTACTCGCAGACCAATTGTGAGCTGGAGTGCCTGGCCAATTTCACGTTGGCCAAATGCGGCTGCGTTAAGTTCTCCATGCCGCGTGAGTTCCGAGCTGCAGCTCGCTGCTGCTTTGATAAACTAATGTGGTTTCTGTGCCAGGCAATGTGAATGTGCCCGTTTGTGGGGCCGGCAACTTGAAGTGCTATAACGACGCGGAGGATGAGCTGCTGCTGAAGGAGTTCGAGCAGGGCATGGCCACCGAGGGCGAGAACTATCGCGGCCAAACGGACTGCAATTGCCTGCCCTCCTGCACCTCCATTGCATATGAAGCGGAAATTTCGCAGGCTGATTTCGATTACAAGACAGTTGCCAGCAAGGATAAGGCCGAGGGCGAGGAGACAAAGCGCGAGGGGTAAAACCTTGCCAGCCAGACCGATTTTCACTTAAAACCTGAACCCTTGTATAATTCTCGCAGCATGAAAATGTCACGGGTTTCGATATTCTTCAAGGAGGCGCAGTTCCTCACCTCGCGCCGCTCGGAACTCTATGGCACCACCGACTTTCTGGCCAATTGTGGCGGTCTGCTGGGCCTCTTTATGGGCGTCTCGACGCTCAGCATTGTGGAGCTGGTCTATTTCTGTACGGTGCGTTTGGTTTCCAATTTGCGTATGCGCCGCAGGACACGCAAGGAGCTGTCCCTGGCCGCCAGCAAGGAGGCCTAGTAAACGCCAAAATGAAGACTGCCGCTTATCAATAAACCAGTGGCAATTGAAAAGGATTCTCCTCAGTAATCTCTCTCTCTCTCTCGGTGTGTTTTAACTGCAAACAATGGAAATAAATTTGTACTCTTAGCACAGTCAGCAATCGGAGTCGTTGACTGGGAATGGAATGGTGCCCGCATATATGCTGGCAAAGTCAAACGTTGTGGCTGGTTGTTGTGTGTGCATTTCAAATGGAATCAATTATTTTATTGTGTGTGATTTGCTGCTGCAATTCAATTCGATTGCCGTAAGTCAACAGACGCAAGTCGGCGCCAGAAGCCAGAAGCAGCACAGCCAACGACTCATCTCCAGTCTAATATGTTATGCAAGGACAGGCCTTTTGATTTGGCAGCGTCTGTGACTGCTGCCAATTGACTCGTCAGTTGGCAAGAGCTCCTTCCACAGCCTGTGAGGATGGGCTACACCCGCACCTTTAGCTGTGCAAACAGCTCACAGCCAAACTCAACTCAACTCGGCTCGGCTTGGCTTGTATGCGTGCGGCTCTAATGGAAATCCAATTGAATTAAGTTAATTATGTTGGCAAATATTTAAACAATAGCAGCAATTTATGCACACCACACACCGCCTCACACACACACACACACACCCAACCACTGGCTGCTTTAAAGTTTAAACTATGAGCTGCAGTTGTCATTTAGTTTAATTCAATTTGCATGCACGACTCGCGGCCATTATTAGCATATCATTTGCAACTGTTGTGCAACAGTTGTGTGCCGGCTACGTGCTGCCAACTGCTGAAATATGCATGAGAACTCTCACGTTGAGTTCATTATGGCAACAAGTGTCGAAATGTGTCGAAATATTGCAAATAAAGTTGACACATTTGCATACCTAATAAAATTCTCCATGCACATGTGGAAAGTTACGATTGCAACAATTGGGCGCCACCACGTTCGGGCACCATGCGGCGCAGCCTTTTCCCGCCGCATTCAGTGGCAGGCATGAAAGTGGCATGCCTACGTATGTGTGTGTGTGTGTAAATGCACTTGCCACTTGCCACTTCAACGCTGGATTCGTGCACGCCAATTTTATTCATATGTGCAAAAAAAAAACAAAAGTCAAAATAAAATTTATGACAATTTTATATTGATGTCTGACGCGGCTGTCTCCAGAGCATTATTGATCACATACATATATGGAGCATAGTGAGTATTTAAAAATCATAGAATATTATTTGAATTTGACTTAAAAATAATTTAAATATCTACTTCTATTAATTATTCAAATGAATTATTTATTTAATATAATATATAAGCGGGCGGTATGTGTAGCTATTCCAAGAACCTCACGTTTCCATCTGAAACAGGCTTCGCTATGGATTCCACATTTGCAAACACCTTTTCCCACTTATTTAGCTTTAACTTGTTGGGAATTTTAAGCGAGAAGCAACAATAACTTGAAAGCGAACAAGATAAAAGTCCACTTTCTGTGCGCTTGACTTAATCTTCAGTTTAGTTCAAGCTGAAAGCTTAAGAAAAAAGTTAATTGATTTCGATTTAACAGCATTTATCGATAATACAAATTTAATCAGCTTCATTCAAGCTTGGAAGCCCATTCAAGTGCTATGTATCGTATCGAAAACGTTACGTAATCACCAAAAATATTATTTGTATTTAAGTATGAATGAATTTAAGTATATATTTGACAACTTCTTGAGCAACTCTCGCAGCTCGTGAGCGCTTGTATCTGTTTGTCGCATTAACAGCGCAAATGTGCATAATGTGACATTGGCTATTAGCGACTGAAAGCAGCTCGTCAACTATGGGCGATGTCAGTAATCAATTTGCATTTAAAAAGCCAGACAGTAGACGGCAATAAAGTGAGTATAACTTCGGCAGGAACATGACATTTGACATTGGCAGCGACTGCAACTGTAGCTGAGGACTTGACAGGGCAAACTCTATAACAATATCAATAAAAAGTTGTTTGCAGTTGTTTTGTAGCAATCGCAAGAAATTGCAGGGAATTTGTAATTAAACTTTTCCACAATGCAGCCCGCTGCTGCTGTCCGCAGTGTCTGGCAGCGACAACGTCAGCGCCAACAAAAACAACAATCAAAATGCCTGGCAACAGGCAGCAAAACAAGAAAACAACAAACAAACAAACGCGGCATTGGTTAACGTTCGCCTCATTTGCTTGGCATAGCTTTAAATTTCCGGTTTCCGGTTTTAGGCGCTGCACCACACTGGTCTCTCGCTGCCACACACTGGTCGCCATTGGCGGCCATGTTTGTTTGTATTTAAGTCGGTTCCTGAGCAACATTTTGCGGCATGCAACAGCACGCGGCTGTCATGTCAGGCGGCTCATGGCTGGCTCTGCTAGTTAGTTGACTTTTGGCTGACTGTTTAAGCGGAAATGACTTGAATGCTTTGCCAGGCACACACACGATACACGACCCACACACTCACACACACACACACGTGTGTCACACGTGGCGTATGCGGAATTTCGCACTCGATTGCCAGGCGCACCTTTGGGGCAGAAAGTTTTGTGTAACACGATTAGCGGTTTGCGTTTTGTTTGCCTCTGTGTCTGAGCCCCAAATGCCGCTTGCATATGCATAAGAGACAGCCGGCTGCAGCAAACAACAACTGCAACACACAGCAACAACAACAACAGCAACTGGAGCAACAACAACAACAAACTGTAATTGCAGTTTTAGATGCAGTCAAGTTTCGAAAAGTCATTAAAAACTTGTGCGCAACAACTTTAAATGCGAATTCTCGAAATTTTTGATTAAATCGCTTTCCACAACTCGAAGATGTTGCGCCAAGACAATTAATGAAAAATGCATATAGCCTCACAAAATGGCAAATCAATGTTTATCGTGACATCAATTGCGAATTGACAGCCACCTACATATGCCAGAGACATACACATATGTACACTGAAAAAAAAAATCAAATCAAATCAAATCAAGTATTTAATACTTAAGCCATAGTCAGAAATAGCGCGAGTTCAAATTTTCTTAAGCGAAGCGCAAAATACTTGAAAAAAGCTTTTGTTTTTAATTCGGGTTTAATTCAAGGTTTGATTTAAGAGTGTAATGGGTCGTTTTCAGCATGTTTGTTTTAGAAACGAGCTATGTTTGAGAACAGTGAACTTAATTTAAGCCAGAAATTACTGGCCTCACAGGTTTTAATAGCTTTTAATATTAAAATCAAGGATTCCACCTAGCTTGAGTATTATTAGATTTATTTTAATTTCTTTTGTTGCCCTTAAATAAGATTTTTGAGCTAAAGTGAAAATCAGCTCTTAATATTAGAAAAATCTACCACGAAGCGTGCGTAAAATTCGAATTAGATTTTTCTCAAAAACGAGCTACAATTAACTTAAGTTATCCCAATTTTTGTTAAGTGTACATATACGTACACAGCCGCACATTGTCACGTAAACATCGCGGCGCTGTTGTGGCTTGGCTGGAATTTGTATGCAAACCGCGCACTAAATTAGATTCTTTTTTACTGCATTGGCATCGCCTGTTGTTGATGACAAGGAGCCATCCAGGATGCGGATATACTTAGATTGACTCGCTGGCGTTGTCCTTGCAGCAACAGCAGCACGGACGATAAAATGCGTAAGCTCGTTAAAATTGCAGGCGTCGCTCCTTTTATAATACGAATAATGATCGAGCCATGGGCGAGGGAGGTCGCCGCCTCAGCGGCTGGTATTGATTTGACTTTTGCGTGCTGCGCCTTGCGTAATGCATAGCGAAATGTTTGATATGGCCTCAGTCGGGGAAGGGTATCAATAACTCCCCCACCACCCTTCCATCTTCGAGTTGGGCTCGCGCATAAATTGTTGATGAGCGTGTGAAATGCCTGTTAAATGAGCTCTTAACGGCAAATTTGTGGTCTGTAAAACTTGTCTGGCAAAACAGATGCGTGTGACATGTAAATTTTTATGCTCTTACGAGTATCGTAAAAATCAAAACTAATACCGTTAGTTTGTCTGTCTGGGTGCTCTATCTGGAGTGTCCAAGTACTGAATACACCAAATCAGGGCTCTATTCTAGAACAGAGCTAGCAGATAAAAGAAATAACCTACTTCTTTAAATCATGATTTTCTGCTAGTATGTATGTAGAGCATTATGTACGTATGCATGTTTGCATGTTTGCATGTATGCATGTATGCATGTATGTATGTATGTATGTATGTATGTATGTATGTATGTATGTATGTATGTATGTATGTATGTGTGTATGTATGTGTGTAAGTATGTATGTATGTATGTATGTATGTATGTATGTATGTATGTATGTATGTATGTATGTATGTATGTATGTATGTATGTATGTATGTATTACTTTTATGATTTACATAAAGATCAAATTTACTTTCGACTGCCCGCTCCCTTCTATGCGATTCACAAGAATTCAAGTAGGCCGCACAGACTTCACTTCTATAGTAGAGGAGGCGGCGGCCCTAGTATCGCAGGAAGCGGCAGCTTGAGCTTAGGAGGAAACGGCGGCTTTACTATGAAGGAGGCGGCGCATTGAGCAAAGGAGGAGTCGGCAGCTTTAACTATAGAAAAGGAAGCGGCATAAGTAAAGGAGGAAGCGGCATCAACTATGAAGGCGAATTTTTCAAGTTTGAGAAGACAACTACACAGGGTACGCCTTATAAATATAACTATGCCTAATTATATTAAAAATAATTATTATAATCGTATGTTTGCATGTTTGCTTGCGGGTATCCCCAGCAGCATTTTATGCTTTTATAGCATTTCGCTATGTTAAAAAGCTGTTTTGGCAAGTCGGATGCATGTATGCATGCAATATATGTCACATATATGTATGCATGTATGCTTATATGTATGCATGTATATATATATGCACCAAACGTAGAGCATATTTACTTTTCGTCGTATAGCAAGTACATTTTATATTAACAATTGGTGTGCGCAAATTAGAAATCTTTAATTTTGTGTGTGCATAAACTAACCACATCTCAATATCTTTTGTTTTTACAGGAATGTCCATCTATAAAAGTCTGCCTCCCTTCCACAAACAGATGGCAATAAAGTACTCCAGCATGTCAGTGTCAAGTTTCAGGTAAGTACATATTTTGAATATATGTTTATGCTTATAAATAGTATACTTAAGCAATTCAGCCCATCCTCTGATACCTCCTCGGATTATAGTTTGGTTTTTAAAAATACAATTAATAGGGCGGCTATTAAAATATAAGAGGAATGAATTTAAGAAAGAATATGTTTTAAGCGTTCCGGAGAACATAATCAAAGACAACAAAACCTTTTGCTCTACTATCTGTGACTCATTCCAAATTGTTTATCCACATCTTTACGAGGGCTGGGCTGTGTTGGCCCAAAGAACATAAATTAAATACACTCACATACAGACTCAGATACTCGTACTTATTATGCATTACCTAATGAAAAGTGGGCTGGCCGGGATCTGGGCAGCAGCAGACACGGTTGGAACTCTCAGTGGGGCTGACAGGAGGCGAGGCGTAAGCAAATAATAAATAAATAAATAAACGAAAAGCGCAAATAACATTTGAGCGCCAGATTTAATTTCTAACGTTGAGTGCGCATATTAAAACAGGCAACAGGACGAGGCGTTGCTGCAGGGACGAAAAGCCAAAGGCAATGTGGCTCCGGGCAACAAACAAAGATGATGCGGATATCACTGCGTCTGCTGTTGTTGGAAGTGCAACGGAAATGCGGGACTCCGGCCCGTGGTCGAGGGGTTGCGGGAGTCTGAGGATGGAAGGCTGATGGAGGCGACGGCGGCGTGTGGGGAATCCCGAAGAGAAACAATAAAAGCGCGCGCGAGAGCCGGGCAAATGTTAGAGAAATTAAACACGCCAAGTGTTGGGCGTGGCGGAAGGCGTAATAGAAGTTAGCGCGAGTAAACAATGAATTACGGAATCATGAAAGCAAATTGACTTTAATGCAAAAATCAAATATTTACTCAGCGCGAGAAAAACTGAAGCCAATGCAATTGTAATGCGGGGAAAGCATGCAGAGACAGCAGCCAGACAGTCAGACAGCCAGACAGCCAGATAAACATACATACAGATGAAAGACAAACAAACACAAACAAAGCCTGCACACACACACACACACACACACACATACAAATTGAGGTTATGTTAGACGTTGCTTTGGCCCCAAAAACTCGTTTCGGCACTTAAATGCCAATGCACACACACACACACACATCATTGCCAAGCTTAGATATGACGAAGGCAGGTTTGAGTGGTGGTTGATGAGGGAAAGCAAGGGGGTTGGGCAAAGGTGGTGGGGCAGCTTTTGTGCGCTGGTCTGCGGTGTATCCGGCTTTTGAGTGTACGTTATTAGCCCGCTGCTGTGGCTGTCCGGCGTGTCTGGATTTTACGATTTCATTCATTTTTGTGGCTGCCATTTGACGCCACAAAATATGCAACAAAATTTTATTTCCAGAGCTCCGCACAGCTGCACTGGATAAATAAAAATGAAAACTATTATCTAATGTTCTGTAAAGCGAATGGCAAACATTTCAAATGCAGCCCTATGAAACTTGGCAATTTGTCTAAGAATTTTCCCAATTAGAAAACAAGCAAAGCTCTCGTCTAAAACAAGAGCAAACAAAAAAAAAAAAAAACAGCAGAGAGATGATAGCTGTGGATGCATTGCACAAATCTGCAAAACCATAAAAGTGTCGCTTTCAATTGTGTGGCCAAAACCCAAAAGCGACAAACGACAATCGAAGCCAACAAGTGAAATTGAAACATTGCACGGCTACAAATTGATGATGAAGTGTGCTCGGGTGTCCTCTGGGTTTTTTTTTTTTTTTTGACTTTTTATAGCCGCACGCAGAGGACATGTCGACTATGTTGAGTGCTTTGTGTTGTGCTCAAACTGTTTTGATATTCTTGAATAACATGGATTTTTATTCATTTTCATTGCGAAGTTCATGGCAACTCTCCACAAAACATTAATCTTACATTTTATTCAGTCTTAAATATATAAGAGATGTACAGCACGTTTTCTTATGTTCATTGCAAAGTTCATGGTAAATTTTATTACGAATTCTTGAATGCAGCTTCTTTTCCCATGAATATAGCTCTTACTCACATTAACCATCAATCATACCTATTGTTGAAAAAGCTAAAGCTTATTCTTACAAGTTCATTGCAAACTTCATGGCAGCTCCCATTAACATTCTCAGGCTCTTTAAATAGCTCATGACAAATATTGTTTCAAATTCAGTTTTCTCATGTTCATTGCAAACTTCATAGTAACTCCCATTTTCAGTCCAGCTTTGTCATGCTTTGTCATGTTCATTGCAAAGTAACTCTCACTTCTTGGGTAGAGCATTTGTGCTTCGACTTGCAGCATTCCTATTCGTCAACGTTACATATTACTTTTTATTGCTCTGCGAGGCGATGATTGACACCTCGTCTGGCAATAAATTTTTAATTTTCAAAGCGCCGTGATAGACTACGGTCTGACTCTCTTATGGCCTGCCTGCCAACCAGCCAGCCAGCTTGACTGACGGACTGAGGACACGCTCTCGATGCGGAGCTTGTTAAATTCAAATTAGAGCCGTGCTCTTTCATAGAGTTGCCGCTGACAGCGAAGATAAATGACAGTGCGCTGTGCGATCGCAACAAATTAACCTTGTTAGGGGCTGCAGCCAGCAACAGTTACAAGTGTATGTAATTTTTTATCGTCTCCCAAGCAGACACGCCCCCAGCCACCCCGCCGCCTCAAGAAGCTGCAGCAACTTAGCCCACTGACTGACTGACTTATGAATGGCGTGTGGCAGTTGCGAGTGGGCGGGTCTCCGGCTCCGGCTCTGCTCGGCATCGATAAATCAGTTTGTATATCAAATTGAATTCACGAGCGTGCACTTGACACCAGCACACGCACATTTATCAGCCGCTGCCGCCTTCTCCTTATGGATAGCTGCCTTCGCCGAATGCAGTCGCAGTCGCAGTCGAAGTCGCCGTCGCAGTCTGCAGCAGAAACAAAGAAGGAGGCAGCAAATCTTTGGCATTTACTGGCGCTTTAACTTGGGCATGAAAAGAAGCCACAAAATTTTAATTTCAGCTAAAAGCGAGGGCAAAAATATCAGCGCTTTGCATTATAAATTATTCATTACATTGGACGCGACCACGCCCACGCCCACGCCCACAAACAGCAGCAGCAGCAGCAGGAGCAGCCGCTGACGGCTGCTCGTTTGCACCTAATTTGATTTTTAGTTGTGTTGAATGGCTGCTGGCTTCCCGGACACCAACCCGGACCCTGACCCGTCTCTGGTTACGACCATCGCCCAGCGCTCCAGCTCTGGCTTCGCTGCGGTTTGCCCCGTGGCAATCTTCTTGTTGTTGCCACACAGCGAAAGCAACAAAAACATGTGGGAGCTCACGAGGATTGGCCACGCCTTGGCAGCGTTTTATTCCTTGCCTTCTTTGGGCTTCATTCATTTCGACTCCGTCGAAAAAATGTCTGTTATGTGGCTGGCAGAATTTTGCAGTAATTAATGGCAACTGTTTGATTAAAAAATTCCATCGTCCGGATACATTCATATATGAACCGAACTGAGCTGAACTAAGCTGAACCGCACAGAAGCCAAGTGTAGACCACATCAAATCTATGCAAATACCAGAAATCGCTTGTGCTTGGCAATTATTTCATAGAGATGCGACATTTCTTTCGGTTTATATGCAACGTGTCGCTAAAGGGTGTTGCCCGGCATTGCTCGAGCTAAGTGTTATTTATCCCAGAATATCTACATTTGCATTTTCTAAATACCTTTTAAATGCATTTGTATTGAATCGAATGAAAACTTAAAATGTTTCATAAAATAGTTTTCAAAGGAGTTTCTATAGATCGGAATTTATGTTTCATTTTGTTACTCTTGATTCAGGTTTTAGATTGAATGAAATATTTTGAAATCTGAAAATTTGCCTGGAACTATATTTCAGAAGATAAAAAATTATTTATGCATAATGGCAAATAAAGCCGGACCTTCGACGCGGGCAGGGTCCTTGGACCACGATGGGCTCGATAAAAGGAATTGGAAATTGATAGCTTTTCGCTGGGTTATCTTAATACTCGCTATCAGCTGTATTGTTAGTTACATAATATTTGTTTGTTGCATTTATATGGTAATTATGCATCCTTAGTATGCCAACATCAGCGATATTATTTACTACAGCGGGATAATCAATCATTACGCACAAATTCCGGAATGTGGTTTTGTGAAATTTGAAATAATGGTGGTCATATCAGGTATCTTAATGCTAATTACCTTGACTGTAGGAGGTGCTTTGGTGCTCAAGCAGCAGCTACGGCAATTGCGCGCTGTGAGTGAAGCCGATTGCAATTATTTTGATGCATAACAACAGGATGATATTTATGCAGTACCTTTGCAGTACCTTACGTTTCTGTTCATATTTAGCTGGATGCACTTGATGATAATCCTCGTGCTGACACAGCGTTATCCGCTTGTCCATGAGATACACGGCAAGTGGATAAAGAGAGAAAGCATCAGTATGTACGAGATCATGGTGAGTTAATGTACCTGAGACTATTCAACTCTTCGCCAACTAGCGCCTCTTCAGTACAATTGCTGCGGCGTGTTCGGGCCGGATGATTATCTGCTCCTGTATGGCAAATTGCCAAGCAGCTGCTTCAGCGATAGCACCATGGATTCCAAGGATCTTTATTACACTGGCTGCCTAAATAAAGATGATATCGAGTCCACCATTGTACGCGGGGAGATGGTCACGTCATTGATACAGGTAAACGAGAAGATGGCGATCGCAGTCAATACGATTATTTCTGAAGGTGTATCAATTGCAGTTCATTTTCTGCATTTTGCTGATGTGTTTTTATTTATTTATGAAGCAAATCAAAGTAACGCAGCGTAGCCTGCGCGACTTGTGGAGAGACCGCATCATACTCTAGGTTTCCACTTTATTTTTTTTTTGTCGTGTCTCAAGCAACAAATTGAATTTGCATTTGCAAGACAAATTGGATGGCATTGAAATTGGCAATGGGCTGGGTATTGGCAGCCGGGCTTAAACTTCTCATATTTCACCAACAGCTGCAATCAATAACGATAAACACTCGAGTGTCTGGCCAAAGCGAAATCCTTGTCGGAGCCATCGTCCGAGTGTCCGTTCTGCATATGCATGAGCCAATAAAGAAATCAACAAAGGCGAATCCCAACTATTGCAAATACCCAAACACCAGAACACACACAGTGGATACTCGAAACAATATGCCAAAGGAGCGAATGCAGCCAAGCGACTAAGCACATGTTCAAGGACAATCTCAATGCTCAGAGCCTGGATGTTTTCATTTTTATATGTATGTAAGTGCATATAAATTTTATTGTTGTCAACATAAAATCGAAAACAATTTTCAAGCATTGCGAAATGCATAAAATATGCATACGAAATGCCCAACAGAACGGCTAACTTTATGGCTAAATAGTTTGCTGCGGCCCAAGCAGTTAATACTTTTTTATGCCCTCCCACGGCCCTTATCTGAGCCAGTGTCGACGATTTGGCAAAAGTTTTCCGCCCCATAACCATAACAATAACAACAACACTCTGGTCAAGCTGCTGATGGGTCCCAGCGCAGAGTTTATGGCGGCAAAGGCAACGGGCTAACTGAAAACCAAAAGGGGTCATGTGGCTCATTAAACTTTGGCCAACAATTTTTTGTGCGCCCCACCATCAACAAAGACAAACAAAAAGTTTAGCACTAAATATTTTGCGACCCTACGAAAAAAAAAGTATATATATATTCCCACTATATACTTACATAAAGTAAGTAGCGATTCATGCGGATGAGCACGGGCGTGAGGCATAAAATTATGGCACACATACGGCCCATTAAATGTTAGACAAATGTGAAGGGCAATGTCTAATGGAAAAAGGGGTCGGTCAGGTGGCGGCAGCTTGAGAATAACAAACAATCTGAGCTAAGACAGCGTGGTGGTGCATCATGCTAAATTTAATAGCATGAAGTAATTATCGAAAATCAATATGTTATCAAAAAAACAAGTGTTTACTAATCAATCTGGCCACTCAAGTTGACATAAAGCAGGCTAGTGCTGCATTAAAATTAAATGTAGTTGACGTAAATCAAATTGTTATCGAAAATAAATAGCCGGCCACAAACCAACCTAACGACGCAGCATTGACAGCAACTTTTACTATTTGCCATGAACTTTGCCATGAGCTTTGCTATGAAGCTATTAAGTTTTGTACAATTATATCGATTAGCTATGGCCACATCGCCCTAAGCTTAACGCCGCAGGATTAAGATCAATACCTACTCTTTTCCATGAACTTTGCCATGAGCTTTGCAATGAACTTTACCACCAGCATGAGAAGACTTAATAATACCAAATGTTTTTGTTAATAGTTTTATTTCGTGTGATTAAACAACAACAGTTTCAACAAGTGCTAAGTGCTGGACTCTAGCTTAGTAGCCCCAGTGTGAGCCAAAGCCATCGAAGCTTACGTGGGCAACACCAATGGCGGGCGAGTACTTCACATAGGCAGTGGGAGCAGCAGCTGGTGCCGCATAGGCGACAGCCGGAGCGGCATAGGTCTTGGCAATGACAGGCGAATGAGCAGCATAGGTCACAGCCGGAGCAGCATACGAGACGGTCTTGGCCAGAACGGGAGCTGGAGCAGCATACGAGACGGTCTTTGCCAGGACGGGAGCTGGAGCAGCATAGGTGACAGCTGGAGCAGCATAGACGGACTTGGTGACCACAGCAGCAGGTGCGCTGTAGACCGTCTTGGGCGTGTACACATTATTGGTGGTGCGAGAGTCCACTTTGCTGACGCTGGAGTAGGGCGTGACCACGTTCTTCGAGTAGGTGGACACGGTGCCGCCGAACGAGCGCACCACATTCTGCTGTGTGGTGCCCACCGCATCGTAATGGGGCTGAGCCACATAGGTAGCTGGCGCCGGCGCCAGGAAGCCAGCACTGGCTAGGCCGAGCAGAGCGCAGAAGGACAATAGGACGTACTTGAAAGCCATGTTGGTTAGCTGCAACTGTAAATGTTACTGATGCTTAACTGGGCCAGCGGCGCAGCTTAAATAGCCAAAATCAAAATGTTTGACCAAATTTCACGGTCACAATGGCCTCAAATTTGTGACAGACCGACTTAGGCCTAAGCCCCCACCCAGCAACAAGCAAACCAAACAGAAACTGGTTCAATGGGTCGGCAAATGACGGCGCGCATGCCAAAAGTAACTCAATGGAGGAGTTCGAGTTGCGAGTTGTGAGTTTCGAGCAGCTGCCCGTCCCGTACGAAAAAGTGAATTATTTTGAATACTATCAGCAGGTCATAAATTTTCCAGAAAACAACAGTGGGCAAAAACTTTTATTGCGTTCGCGTATTTTTCCATTAAATTGAGTTCAAGTCAAGCAGCAAATATGACCCCGCGCCTCGGAAAATTCAAGGACTCTTCCAGCTTGTGTCAACTTTTTCCTTTTGCTTTTTTCGGGGGTGTTTTTTTTCACATTTTGTTGTTGTTTATGATTTTTATACTTTCGTGCAAGTTTTTCAAAATGAATATCCCTGCTGCTGCTGCTGTGGCTCACGGGGCGCATGATGAATATTTATTGAAATTACCAAAGTTGCCGCTTGCCTCAAATTGAATTGTGTTGCCAACTTGGGATAGCTGCACGCCCACTTACCGCCCCCGCCCCACGCTGGCTGTCTTAGTTTTGTGTTTTTTGGCAAATTGTTATTAATATTACACGTGTGCCATTGAGTCGCTCTCTAAACCTAATTACGACGTTTAATTTATGGCCACAAATTGGCTTTCAAATAATTTGCCACACACTCGACAGACAAACAATCGGCTAACGAAATTCGCATCTCTCATTGTGGGCAGGTTCCCAATTAACCAAAATGCCGTTTGGCACGCGTCAGTTGCGTATAAAAGCCGCAACATTTTGGCCAAATCAACAACAGTCGCAGCTCAGTCAGCCAGCCGATAACAGTTTCAGTTTCCACACCCAGTTTCTATCGCTTACCATGGCCTTCCGTTACGTAATCCTCGCCCTGTGCGCCCTGCTGGCCTCTGCACAAGCTGGTCTGCTGGCCAGCCATGTGGCTGTGGCTAATCCTGCCGTGGATGCTGTGGCCTCCACGCAGCACAATGTGGTGCGCTCCTTCGGCGGCACCGTCTCCAGCTACTCCAAGGCTGTGGATACGCCCTACTCCAGCGTGCGCAAGTCGGACACTCGCATCCAGAACAATGTCTACACGCCGGCTATTGCCAAGACAACCTATGCGGCGCCACTGTACACTCAGGCCACGCCGATTGTGCAGAAGAGCGTGTATGCTGCTCAAGCTCCCGTCCTGGCCAAGACTGTCTCGTATGCCGCTCCAGCTCCCGTCCTGGCCAAGACCGTCTCGTATTCTGCTCCGGCTGTCAGCTATGCTGCTCCCGTCAAGACCGTCTCGTATGCTGCTCCGGCTGTCAGCTATGCTGCTCCCGTCAAGACTGTCTATGCTGCTCCCGCTCCTGTTGTGACCAAGACCGTGTACGCTGCACCCGCTCCCGTCGTTGCCAAGACCATCTACTCTGCAGCTCCAGTGTACGCCAAGTCGTATGCCGCACCCGCTGTTAGCTATGCTGCTCCACTGGCCACCACCAATGTGAACCATGGTCCATCTGCCACCACCTACAGCCACAATGCCCCAGCCCTGGGCGTCTCCAGCTACGGCAGCGCCCAGACGGTGCACTATTCGCCCGCGGAGAGCGTTTCGCACATGAGCTTCGATGGCTTCGGCACCCACTGGGGTTTCTAGGCGCACGACTCGCAAATTAGTAAAGCCGCTTGTTAATGTTGCACGTTGTTAATAAAAAAAAAACCCACAAATTTTTGTTGCAAGTAAAACCTTGGCAAAGCTTCCGTTTCGAGGTTGGGCCTGAAAGCAGCGCGAGCTAAGCAAAATGAAGCCTAACAAGCAATAAACGCGCAATTGTCCAAAAGTACTCAATGAATTATATCAGAAAAAAATTGGAGCTGGAGCCGGTTTCTGCGACGTCATCTTGGGCTCTGTGGGCGGCCTTCGCTGTTTCGTTAAGCGGCTTTCTGATAACTTGTGGCGGGGGCGTGTCGGCTCGGTTCGGCTCGAGTCTGTTTGCGCATTATATTATTTGCCATTAATTGGATTTAATATTTTTGCACACCTCCAGCTCTTTTGGCTGCCCTGTTGATCCATGGAATTGAAATCGAAATCAAAATCAGCCTCATTGCCATTCAAATGTGGCCGGATATACTCACAATTGCGGCCCGGTTGGCTGTGTGTTTTTGCACTTGTTACAATTAGTCTCGGTTAATTATCGGCTGTTTCGGCTGATATAACAGCATTAACGATATCTGCAATACATGTGCCTGTGCATGGCCCGATTTCAAATTTGACATTAAAGTCAACTACTCGCGGTTTGCTAATGGACAGAGCTCTATTGAAAAAACAAACACATGAATTTTGGCCTATTCAGTCCAATACAATTAGGGTTAATGCTCTGCGCGCGATCTTGAAGTTGTCTAGAAACAAAAGACAAGGTTTGGCCATATTTCTACTTGAATATGCGCAATATGAGCGTGATTGTTCATTCCATATTTTATTACTAATCCTATTTATTTTTAACAAAGTTTTAATTTCTTCATATCAATATTCAATATTTATAGCTTTGCTTTTCCTCAATTTCAAACTCAATACTTTTGTTAATAGTTGACCTATAGATTAATTCTGCATTAAAATTTGAAAACTATTATCGTAGGCTTTTTGCCAATATATAAAAAATTGTATAAAAATACAAAGTCTCTTGCTAGAGTTAATGTGCAACTGCGTTATGGCCATGGCGTAAAGTCTAGATTTTTTGAATTCAAAAATCAAATAATCATTTTCGCTGGTCAAATCTTAGACTAATACGAATTTCGATACTTGTCAAATATCTCCAGTCGGCTAATTATGAAAGTGCTTAGTCATGCTCTCAGGTGTATAGATGACACTCACAAATAGCTCGTACTCTTAAAATTGAGCATGCGTTTGTCCAATCATCTAATTGAAAACTGATTAAAAAGTGATTGTGGCACACTTTATTTAAGACTTGATGTGACTTTGATTTCAGGCAATTCCCTGGCTAATGCGGACATAAACAATCAAATTAAATGAAGATATGCATTAAAAATCGGGAAAGGGAAACACTCACACACGTTTCTTTGGCAAATTAGCTGCGATTGTTGTGTGTGAGTGTGTGTGTGTGTGTGAGAGGGGGTTTGTAGGAGCTGAGATTGCGCATACGCTATGTGGGCCAGAAATCGCACACTCTTGTGTCACATTGTTGTTGTTGTCTGTCTGCCTTGACAATTAGTCAATAATTTATTTCAATTTCATTTGGCATGCCAAGCACACACACACAAGCACACACACACAGAAAGAGAACTGGCCTAAGTGCAGTTTAATTACATTTGCATTTGGCTTGTGCTTGTGCTTGTCGCTTTGGTTTTTGCACAAACTGCTTGCGCATGCAGCTGAGCACAAACAATTGCTGCAATCCAATTTACGTAAGCGAATTTTCATGATTTAAATAACATAACATTATGGTTTATTGTGCTTATCCGAGAGCGAGACATAGAGAGAGAGAGAGAGAAAGAAAGGGATCTGGAGTGAGAAAGTGAAAAACTGCAATTCCCACACCAAGCTCAACATTCTGCAGGGCCAGCTGGCTGTTGTCTGGCGTCTGTACAGCTATGTCCTGGTATAATTAAATTATGAAAGGACATAAGACGCATAATAAGTCATAAATCAAATTTACCTATCCCACGGGTATCCACCGAAACGGAAGGCTGGCAGGCTGGCAGGCTGGCAGCCAGACAGCAAACCTTGGTGCCAGACAAACTTACAATATTGTGGCCTCGACTCAACTTTGTGGCCCTAATTTGATGGACATTATGACGACTCTGTCTCGGCAAACAATTAGACAATTGATGCATCTCTGTGGCTATTTGGCCAATGCCATTTTCTATTTGTTTCGGACATGGACACATCACAAACGTGAAAAGGGCCGACCCCAAATGGCCCCAGCAGAACAGGACAGCTGTGACTGTAGCTCTGACTGCAACTGCGAATGCATTTTATGTTGTTCACGTCATGGCCAGACGCTGTTTCGAGTGTGCAATTGAAAATTTCTGCAACAGCAAATGTAAATTTTGTGTGCAGCAAGCGGCGTTGCCAGAGTGTTGCAATATGCCAGTGTTGCAGTGCTGCTGTTTTTGCTGTTTCCCCCTGTTGACCAACAATGGCCTGGCTCAATTCAGCCATTGACAATTACACGAAATTGCATTTATAACGAGCTCTCAATTTTTGACACTGGATTTTCGAAAGTTCTCAAATTATATCCAAAGAATATTATAGAAAAATTGATGACAAATTGGTTTAGAAGCTAAATGGGAATGGGAAATTTTGACCATGTCTACATAAGAAACTGGGTCTAAGATTTTGTTATGAATTTCGACTAAAAAATACGTGTTCAGATTTGAATGCCAGATTAATCTGGAGGGAAAACCATGAGCAAAAAGCCAAACCTCGTAAAAATCGGAGCAGTTTTGAGCGAATTATGGGAATGGGAAATTTTTACCCATGTCTACATAAGAAATTAGGTCTAAGATTTTGACATGAATTTCGACTAAAAAAGACGTGTTCAGATTTGAATGCCAGATTAATCTGGAGGGAAAACCATGAGCAAAAAGTCAAACCTCGTAAAAATCGGAGCAGTTTTGACCGAATTATGGGAATGGGAAATTTTGACCCATGTCTACATAAGAAACTAGGTCTAAGATTTTGACATGAATTTCGACTAAAAAATACGTGTTCAGATTTGAATGCCAGATTAATCTGGAGGGATTAATCTGAGCAAAAAGCCAAACCTCGTAAAAATCGGAGCAGTTTTGACCGAATTATGGGAATGGGAAATTTTGACCCATGTCTATATAAGAAACTAGGTCTAAGATTTTGACATAAATTTCGACTAAAAAATACGTGTTCAGATTTGAATGCCAGATTAATCTGGAGGGAAAACCATGAGCAAAAAGCCAAACCTCGTAAAAATCGGAGCAGTTTTGACCGAATTATGGGAATGGGAAATTTTGACCCATGTCTACATAAGAAACTAGGTCTAAGATTTTGACATGAATTTCGACTAAAAAATACGTGTTCAGATTTGAATGCCAGATTAATCTGGAGGGAAAACCATGAGCAAAAAGCCAAACCTCGTAAAAATCGGAGCAGTTTTGACCGAATTATGGGAATGGGAAATTTTGACCCATGTCTATATAAGAAACAAGATCTAAGATTTTGACATGAATTTCGACTAAAAAATACGTGTTCAGATTTGAATGCCAGATTAATCTGGAGGGAAAACCATGAGCAAAAAGCCAAACCTCGTAAAAATCGGAGCAGTTTTGACCGAATTATGGGAATGGGAAATTTTGACCCATGTCTATATAAGAAACTAGGTCTAAGATTTTGACATGAATTTCGACTAAAAAATACGTGTTCAGATTTGAATGCCAGATTAATCTGGAGGGAAAACCATGAGCAAAAAGCCAAACCTCGTAAAAATCGGAGCAGTTTTGACCGAATTATGGGAATGGGAAATTTTGACCCATGTCTACATAAGAAACTAGGTCTAAGATTTTGACATGAATTTCGACTAAAAAATACGTGTTCAGATTTGAATGCCAGATTAATCTGGAGGGAAAACCATGAGCAAAAAGCCAAACCTCGTAAGAATCTGATGATTTTTGACCGAATTATGGGAATGTGAAATTTTGACCCATGTCAAAATCCATGACCCATAAGAAACTGGGTCTAAGATTTTGACATGAATTTCGACTAAAAAATACGTGTTCAGATTTGAATGCCAGATTTATCTGGAGGGAAAACCATGAGCAAAAAGCCAAGCCTCGTAAAAATCGGAGCAGTTTTGACCAAATTATGGGAATGGGAAATTTTGACCCATGTCTACATAAGAAACTAGGTCTAAGATTTTGACATGAATTTCGACTAAAAAATACGTGTTCAGATTTAAATGCCAGATTAATCTGGAGGGAAAACCATGAGCAAAAAGCCAAACCTCGTAAAAATCTGATGATTTTTGACCGAATAATGGGAATGGGAAATTTTGACCCGCGTACATAAGAAACTGGGTCTAAGATTTTGTCATGAATTTCGACTAAAAAGTACGTGTTCAGATTTGAATGCCAGATTTATCTGGAGGGAAAACCATGAGCAAAAAGCCAAGCCTCGTAAAAATCGGAGCAGTTTTGACCAAATTATGGGAATGGGAAATTTTGACCCATGTCTACATAAGAAACTAGGTCTAAGATTTTGACATGAATTTCGACTAAAAAATACGTGTTCAGATTTAAATGCCAGATTAATCTGGAGGGAAAACCATGAGCAAAAAGCCAAACCTCGTAAGAATCTGATGATTTTTGACCGAATTATGGGAATGTGAAATTTTGACCCATGTCAAAATCCATGACCCATAAGAAACTGGGTCTTAGATTTTGACATGAATTTCGACTAAAAAATACGTGTTCAGATTTAAATGCCAGATTTATCTGGAGGGAAAACCATGAGCAAAAAGCCAAACCTCGTAAAAATCGGAGCAGTTTTGACCAAATTATGGGAATGGGAAATTTTGACCCGTGTCTACATAAGAAACTAGGTTTAAGATTTTGACATGAATTTCGACTAAAAAATACGTGTTCAGATTTGAATGCCAGATTAATCTGGAGGGAAAACCATGAGCAAAAAGCCAAACCTCGTAAGAATCTGATGATTTTTGAGCGAATTATGGGAATGTGAAATTTTGACCCATGTCAAAATCCATGACCCATAAGAAACTGGGTCTAAGATTTTGACATGAATTTCGACCAAAAAATACGTGTTCAGATTTGAATGCCAGATTTATCTGGAGGGAAAACCATGAGCAAAAAGCCAAACCTCGTAAAAATCGGAGCAGTTTTGACCAAATTATGGGAATGGGAAATTTTGACCCGTGTCTACATAAGAAACTAGGTTTAAGATTTTGACATGAATTTCGACTAAAAAATACGTGTTCAGATTTGAATGCCAGATTAATCTGGAGGGAAAACCATGAGCAAAAAGCCAAACCTCGTAAAAATCTGATGATTTTTGACCGAATTATGGGATTGGGAAATTTTGACCCGTGTCTACATAAGAAACTAGGTTTAAGATTTTGACATGAATTTCGACTAAAAAATACGTATTCAGATTTAAATGCCAGATTTATCTGGAGGGAAAACCATGAGCAAAAAGCCAAACCTCGTAAAAATCGGAGCAGTTTTGACCGAATTATGGGAATGGGAAATTTTGACCCATGTCTACATAAGAAACTAGGTCTAAGATTTTGACATGAATTTCGACTAAAAAATACGTGTTCAGATTTGAATGCCAGATTAATCTGGAGGGAAAACCATGAGCAAAAAGCCAAACCTCGTAAGAATCTGATGATTTTTGACCGAATTATGGGAATGGGAAATTTTGACCCATGTCAAAATCCATGACCCATAAGAAACTGGGTCTAAGATTTTGACATGAATTTCGACCAAAAAATACGTGTTCAGATTTAAATGCCAGATTTATCTGCAGGGATTCCCATGAACAAAAATCCAAATCTCGGTAAAATCGGTTGAGTTTTGCCCGAGTTATGGATGTGGGAAATTTCGACCTATGTCTATATAGGATATTTGAGGGTACTATTTTCACATGAATTTTGACCAAAAATTTTACCAGATTTAGAGGCCAAGCCATGAATAACATAATTTATACATGTTCGGGCTCAAATGGCTATCATTGATTTTATTTATAGTCTAGGAATTATATTATAATTGCTTTGCCCGAAATTTTGTCAATTTTATGGGTGAAATTGTTTGCTGGAACTCGCACAATTCCTAAGCTCTTGCAGTTTAAACAAATTTGAGCATGTTTAACGCAAATGCCAGACGAACTGAAGCAGAAGTAGAAATGAAAAGAAATGAAAACCCAAGCAACTCAGACGACTCCCATCGCGATATGTCATAGCCGCAGACAAAGGGCAGCCCAAGCTGTTGGTTGAGGGCGAAGGGGGAGGGGGCGGGGCTGGGTTTGAGCAAATGCACGAATGCTAAAGATTCTCGTACTAACTGATACGGATCATTGCTTGGCCCGCAGGCTGCTGTTGCCTGTGTAGATTAAAATTTAATTTTTAATTTAAAGACTGTGTTTGCGTTTTATTTGCGCCTTGTTGTGGCATAAATAAACGAGCCACCGGCCCCGTCTGTTGATTTATCATTATTCCATGCAAATTCAACGTTCACCTTAAGCTTTTAGCTGCGCAACTGCGGCAAGGTTGGCCATTTGGCTCGCTTTATCTGCCACTGCCACAGCCACTGCCACGTGCAATGTCAATGCCAAGCGATTAACATTCAATTAGCTTTTGGCTTCATCAATGATTTTATCGCAGCCATTAGAAGAGGGTTGGGGCTGGGGCTGTTCGCTGTTGCTGTGGCTGGTTTGAGTGTAAATTGTGGCAAATTATCATTAGCCTGTTGTTGTTGTTGTTGTTCTGTGTATGTGTTTGTGTGCCTTGACAACGACATCTTTACATCTTCAAAAGGTTTTTATGACATCAACAGCTGTCGTTGACAGATTATTGTGGCGATTATTTTAGCAGACAGCGTTTGGGCCACACACACACACACATACTCTTACACACAAAGCAAAAGGACCGACAAGAACCAAGAGGCAAGGACTTTGGGACAGACAGGCACAGGGCCAGGCTATGCTATCCTGGCCAGGGGCTGGGCTCTGCTATTGACTTCAGCCCAGGGCCTCAGCCTGCTCGAAAGGAGAAGAGTCGGCGTTGCCTTCTCCTGCTTTGTGCGTTCAACTGGAATTTGTCAACAATGTTGTCATTGTTGTTGCTGCCGCTTCTGCTGCTGCTGGTGTTGCACATGTGGCCCGTCCACTTGAAACATCTTGTGGGTTAGCACTTGTTAATAACTATGTTTCACTTGGAATACTTGTCATTTATGTTATACACTTTTGTACTACATACACAAACTGTATTTGATATCCTGGTGATGTGCATGCGTTCGCAGCTCTGTCTTAAATCATTGGCTGCTATTTGTCTGACTATCCTTTTGGTAAGCGCTAAAAAAGTCTTTTGCCCTCTGATGGCCGTCAGATTAATTTTCATATAGCAATTTTGCTGCATAGAAATCGGTTCGACCTTCGACAATGGATTATTAGATAGTCGGAAGAGGACTGTGCTGTTAATATCAAACCTGGCTACTTCAATTTTTATGATCGCAATCGCATGTTTGGGTTATTTTATCGTCTTTAGTCAAGCAATATTTCTGCTCCTGGTGGTAAAGCTTAAGAAACATTATCAGTAATTAATTGTGTCTATCAATTCAATAAAGCTTTATCGAGGTTACGAGCTTCCCGCATGCTTAATTGTAGTTATGAAATTTTATATATTCGACTTAAAGCTTTCTCAATATTACGAGCTTAAAGCGAGCTAAATAAAGTTCCTTAAACTTATTGTAAAGCTTTCTTAAAGTTAAATTATAATATTAATTGAAATTGTGCAAATTTAGCTTAAAGCCATTCAAGATTACGAGCTGACAGCGAGCTCAACTGTATTTTACTGAATTAAATTCAGTAAATTAAGCTTAAAGCTTTCCCATATTAAAACATTGATTTAATTAATTATCAACTATCTTCACAGCTGGCAATTTGCATTGGCTTATTCATATTTATCAAATGCAATATTTGGATACTTTATGTGACTATTGGAAACTCTACGGAAACGTACCCGAACTATCACATTTGGTTTGCATCAACGATCTTGTGGGCCGTAAGTGCAACAAAGCAAAGTTCAGGTGTAAGTGCAACAATATTTGTTTTCCCTTTTATAGGCATTGAGTCTGATTGTAATCGTGCGGTTGTTGATAATACGAAAGCGTAGCTAAGAGTTTCGTGTCACATTCAACATACATATTTATTTAAGTGCATACCAATGTGTTTTCTGGGAATAGTTTTGCTCAAGATCCATACAATCATTATATCTATCATTATTCTGGTAAGTTTGTTGTCCAATTCGGCTGAAGTACAAAACTGACTATTAAACCCGCTCCTGGTTAGGTATGCAATACTATGGATCTCGTCAAGTCCATTGAAAATGTGGGCAGTTACCAAGGTTATGCGAAGAGTGCTTTCATCATATCCATGGTGCTGAACACTTTCCTAACTTTCGCAATTAGTTTCGGCAGTTATGGAGTTATTCGTCATAAGAAATTGCCCCTGAAGCTGGTAAGTGGAAGTTATGTAATCGAGTTTTAAAAATCTCATTGATCCCATTCAGTTTTTATTCACATTGCTGGTCTTCTTCATCTGCAAGCTGATGCTTGCGGAAATAGTCGATGGCATCAATGAGAAAATTTATCAACTCCTAGCAAGTCCCTGGTATCATCTGGACATGGCTCTTTCGGTAGATAGACTCGACAATTATCACAAGCATAGTTCAATATTTTCATTGGTTTTCCCTGACATTTCAGCTGCTATGTTTAATTTTTGTGTCAGCCCTTTATTTGCGATTAACAGATGAAGCAGATTTGAGGTAAAGCGATTCTAATCTATTTACATGGAATCGATTCTTTTTATGATTATTTATTATACTATATTAATAAATACAAATTAATAATTTTGACTTTAATCTTAAAGGTCGCAAGCTATCTGCCTGTCAGATTTGGACTCAAACAATGGCTGCAGACATTTGGCAAGCTTTGCAGCATAAGGATTAAGTTACCCGAAGCTTTAACGTGCTTTCAAAAGCTTTAACGTGCTTTCAAAAATGTTGCTTGACACGCAGTAGTCCGTTTAAATTTGTAGCTTAACGTCAAAAAGTTTAAAATCTTAATTAATATTGATAATCGAAGTGTTTGAAAAATCGTAGAAATGTGTTTGTGCCAATTCAAGGTAGTCAAGCTTATAACCATAAGCCTAACCGTAGGCCTTGCAGTAAGTATTATTGAAGCAGCAAAATAACAAGATCAGCATGATTTTACTCATACATACAGATATTTAATACTGTAGACCTGGTCACGGCCCTATTAACCTTATGCGAAGCCAACGAAAATCTCAAGTTTGTGCTGGTCTCATCGATTGTGCTGAACAGTTTAGTGAATTTTGCAATTTTCATCGGCATCAATGGATCTCTACAGAATAATTCATTAAAGCTAAAGCAGGTAAGTCTTAATTATTTGAAAGCCCTTGCAGTTGCATAAACACATCAATTCATTTCAGTTTTTAGCTGCAATTTTGATCTTCTTCTTCGCCAAAATAGGGCTATCGAAATTGATTGACGACTTCAATAAAACGGATATCGAACTGGTTATTCAGATATGGTATCAGTTAACCGTGGTAACCTCCGTAAGTTATTATATAGCACATACGATTTCAATCTATTGATATTTGTTAATTGTAGGGCTTGTGTTTTATATTCGCAATGCCCCTTTGCCTTAAGCTGGTGGAGAAAGAGAATTCACCCGAAATTGCAGTGCAAAGTGTGATAAGTACTTTTTAAAATGGTTTCCAAATTCAATTGTGTGCATTTTTTTGTTATAAAACTTTCGTGAATACCAAGAAAAGAGTTAAAGACAAGCGATATAGTCATATAGTTGGGCCTGATTAGCTTTCGGGCTTCGGTTCACAGCTCGAATCAATTGAATGTGATTTAGATTCGGTTCGCAAATCAAATTATCAATAATTTCCTTTGGCAAGGTATATATTTGGTCATTGATTTTGATTATGATTTATTTGAAACAAATTCCAAAATTATAAATGCGCGCCTGTTCTGCTGAAAGTATTGTCATACATACATATTTTCATGAACAAAAGGCGCGCAACATTTAGGCTCTTTCCAAAATTGGCATATGTCAAATTGGTTAGATAAACGCAATGGGTTAGGCCCAAGTTATTGGTTTGGGTTAGGGTCTCTTATTTTCAAAAATTATATGATTCTTTTCGGGCTTCGATTTGGCTGGATATAGCTTCAAGTTTGGTTCATAGTGGCATCAAAATTGGCATTCCGCTCAGAGTCTTAGACCTGACTGGAATCTGTTCGGCTTAAAAGGAAAACACGTTTTATTTTAAATATAAATATAATATTTCGTTTTATTTCTCAAGTGATTTAAGCCAAACTTACCTTCAGAATTGTCTTAATGGCTAAGACTTTCGATGTGGCGTTTCAGATAGCGAAATGCGTGCCAATCTGTGTGGCTTGTGTGGGTTATCAAATTACATGCGGCATTATGGACACAACACGCCCGCAGGATAACAACAGCAGCAGAAGCCGTGGCAGCCAATAAAGATGACGATGACAAGATAAACGAAAGTTTGTGGCAAGTGGCAAGTGGCAAGCGGCAAGGGGCAAGCGGGTGAATTGTCGCTGTTTGTGTCTGCTTTAAATGAAATTTAACGATGCACAGAAATAATGGCACTTTGCATTTTAAAACACTTTAACGACTGCCGCCGAGGCGGTCAAAAGTCAGCAAACGGATGCGACATTGACATTCAATTTGGACGCGAACGCTGATGTCCTGCTGCTGCTGCTGCTGCTGCTCTGAACTCTGAGCCCTGATGCTCATTATACGCATTTCCATTTGACACTTTTATTGGCCCAGTCTGATATTTCACACTCTCCTGCGGGGTGGATGGTGAATATGGTGACTGAGGCGGGGAATGCGTAAATGCTGGGCAACATTTATGCGGGTCATTTTATAGCCAGAAACGGATGCGAATGCGGATGCGGTTACGGATATATCAACCGATAAGGCCATTAAATTGATGCAGCACTTTTGCTGGCCATAAACTCAGCCAGCGCCAGCAGGACTCAGCCAATTACGCAAATAAAAGAAAATGTTACCAGCTCGCGCGTCTACTTATGTGCAAAACGTGTCAAAGTGCTGAAAAATGCAACAGCTTTTCGAGCAGTGTGCGGCGGCAACTGAGTGGCTCATTAGGCATCAAGCTGGCCCCAAGGTGTTGCGCGTAAATTGTGTGGAAAAACGTACACCTCACAGCCCACACCCCGCGCCGTTCACTTTAAAAAAAATTTAAGCTAGCCAGGCATATAAATAGATAAATGACCGAAATGTCTGTGTGAGTCCACTTTCACAAACGCTTAATTAAAGCCGTGCGCCGTGGGCGATTTTCGTCATTGTGCTCAGCGCGTGGGTCTGGGCCACTGTGGAAATTCCAATTGTCGCCCAGCAGCTGCTGGACCCCCCCAAAAACAGCATGTTGTCGCTGTCCTTGCCAGCGTCCAGGCGCATATCCTGCGGCTGATTAAAATCTATTAGAGTCAAAGAGATGTAAGACACCGAACTGTCGGTGGTTGGGCGGCTGGGCGGCTGGGTGGCTCAGTTCTTGCCTGACTTGGGCATGTAAATGTCGACGCAATTGAAATGCATGCGGCGGAAACTTCCAACTAGCTATAACTTAGGTACACAATGAGCCTGACTCGTTTCTTATTAGGTTTGACAAGCGTAAGGCAGCAAATTGGGTTTTTACTATTTTCAATTGTTTTTCATTTTTGTAACGATGTTTTCTTCAAGTGGACAAAGTGTTAACCCACTTTTAAATCGGTATTTATGATGTAATAAGGTTTGAACCGGCATCTGGAATGTAGCCCAGGTCGGGAGTTGGTTCTATAGCATAGCCTGGCAATCAAATGCTGGTTGTTTCTCTCTTCTCTATAATTATCTTACTCTTCTTCTACATGCTACATGAATGTAGCCAGGTAATTCTTAGGCGTTGCCACCTAGGCAGAATTACATAGGCTTGGGACTTTTCGTTAAATTTCCCAAGGCATTTGTTTTTATCATAATTATTTTTTTATTATCATATATACTAATATATTAATTATTTTAAAAATATAATATAATTTCTCTCCTAAATTTAGTGATATACATTTTAATAACTAAAGTTCAGTTCGTGATCACATGTGCCCCACGTTAGGGTATTCAAGCTCTGTTTGTTGTTGTTGCCATTGCGGCACTGCCAAAAGTCGCACACAAAAACTTTCAGCGCAAAGTTTTTAACGGAAATTGTGCAGCTGTTTTGTGTGCCGACGACACGGATGTGGCAGGGGGCAGCTGGGGGCGTGGCATTGCCAGCACTTGTTGGCTGCCCCCAAACATACACATAGTCCATAGATATTTAGATGCAGACAGCAAGTGTCTTGCAAATTTCTTGAAATTTTAATTCAATGGCAAGGCTGAAAGAAGAGCTCCTTACATTTACATATGTAAGCATGTCATTACCTCTAATGTGTAAATATATGTGTGTGTATCTATAAGTATCTATCGTTATCAAGCGCATGCCAACATGTGCCGCCTCTCAATATGAATTTTCATGATTAAAGCGCGTGTCGCCCGGCATTTTATCGCCCAAAGACAGCGCCATTCCGGCAATGTGAAACGTCGCCGGTTCGCTTCGGTTCGGTTCGATGAGTATATTCTTATAAATTATCGTGCATGGTAACAAATGTGTCCACACAGCCATTCACACGCATGCATAATAAAGTGATTTTAAAGGGCACTTTTCTCCGGCTGCGTAAAATTTCCATTTGCGTGGGGCACTCAACTTTATTGGAATCGAAAGTTAGCCCAGTGTGTGTGTGTCTCTCTCTCTCTCTCTCTGATAATGTGGCCCGAGCACATGTGCTCTAATGTAACTTGGCTTTAACAATTCATTAAAATTTCATATAAATGCCGCTGCAATAGCCGCATCAAGAACGGAACAAAGCGCATTAGCGAGCGCAGCCAAGTAATCCACTTTGTTATTAACTGCTATTTACAAATGTGCAGCCAGTGTCAAGTAAATAATACAATAACAAAATATATTAAATGCAGCGCGAAAGCGTCAAGTCATAAACTGCTCATCAGTCTTGGGGCTGCAGCTGGTGGGGTTTTTGGTGGAAGTTGACACAACCCTAGCCC